GCGCCCAGGTTCACAGTGCTCATGGCGGCATGACTGCTCTACTTCGAGCACTCGCAGTAGGAGAATCAGATTCACACCCCTAAGCTTACCCCTTTTCCTCTTTCCTTCTCCCGTTTCTCGCTCTCCCCCATCTCTCTCCCCCCCTCATCCTCCTCGCCCAGCGCCCCCTGTTGCTGTGTGGGCTGCGTGTGGCTGCCCCCCTGATCACCTCTCCTTTCTCCGCGCCCATCTTCTCCTCCCCTGCTACCTTCCCTCCTCTCGCGCTCACCAACGCCCTGGTTCACGGTGCTCGTAATGAGTCGTGTTTTGAGTCGACTCAAAACATGACTCATTACACGTGGTGCTCGTAACGCGCCCTGGTTCGCGCTCCCCTTTGCAGCGCCATGGTTCACGGTGCTGGTGGCAGCGTGGGTGCTGTGTGCGCTGGCCGTGGCAGAGTCGTGCTGCTCTACTCGAAGCATTCACAGTGCGCGGATTGCACCCCTAAGATTACCCCGCGCTTCCTCTCTCGCCTCCCCTCTCACCCGCCGCCCAGCCCCTGGTTCACAGGGGCTCGGTAACAGCGTGGGTGCTGTGTGGGCCGGGCGTAGCGGCGTGGCTGCTCTACTGGAAGCACTCACACTACGAGAGGCACAGGGAGGAGGCGTTGGTCGTGGCTGGGCTCCCCTGATCCGCTCTTCTTTCTCTCCCCACCCTCTCTCACCGCCCCTCCCCCGTGCAGCCCCTGGTTCACAGTGCTGGTGGCGGCGTGGGTGCTGTGTGGGCTGGGCTTTTCAGCATGGCTGCTCTACTCGAAGCATTCCCAATACGAGAGCCGCAGGGAGGAGGCGCTGGGCGTGTGGTGCAAGGAGCACGCCCTCATGCTGCAGCAGCTCGTGCTGACCAATGTGGGGCAGATGCAGGTGAGGTAGGAGTGGTGCCAGGTCTCAGCAGCTCGGGCATTCTTACCTCATACAGCGTGGGTGCTGCCCTGCCCTCTACTCTACTCCCCTCATGCCCTCATGCTGCAGCAGCTCGTGCTCACCCATGTGGGCCACATGTAGGTGAGGGTGGCTAGGTGTGGCATCACGCAGGTTACAAGCAACGCGGTTGCTGCTCCCTGCGCTCATGCTGCAGCAGCTTGTGCTCACCCATGTGGGGCACATGCAGGTGAGGCTGGTAGGTTGTTCGACTCAAGTAAGGCTGGGTGCTGCCCTCTACTCTCCTGCCCTCATGCCCTCATGCGCTCATGCGCTCATGCCCTCATGCGCTCATGCGCTCATGCCCTCATGCTGCAGCAGCTCGTGCTCACTCACGTTGGGCACATGCGGTGCAGATGCACATGGGATGGGATGGGAGGCCTACCTCACTTGCACCACCCATGCCCTCCTGTCTTCTGTCCTCCCATCCCATGCACAGACACTCACAGGCATCATATCAGGGATACGCAGGCCGGGGCGGAGGGGCAAGTGGGAAAACTGCACTGTGTTCCACGGTCCACCCACCCACCACATTGAATTCTACTTTATGGTGCTAATGCCCTGTTGTTGTGCTCTTCCCTTCTCCCTGTCCTCCCATGCATGAACGCACAGACCCTCACAGGCATTATCTCGGTGATGGGCAAGCCGGGGCGGAGGGGCAAGTGGGGGTTGGACAGGTGTTTGAACGGCAGCACATGGGAGGCTTACCTTACTCGCACCGCCTATGCCCGCCCGGGCAACACGGGGGCGACTGCTTGTGTCTTTGTCAGGGATGAGGAGAGGTGAGAGGAGGAGAAGGAGGGGGGGGGGAGAGGGGATTGGGAGGAGGGCAACTCGAGGGCGTCGTTTGCGTCTTTGTCAAGGACTAGGAGAGGTGAGAGATGGAGGGATGTGGTGGTTGGTGGATGTGATGTGATATGATGTGATGTGATGTGATGTGATGTGATGTGATGTGATGTGATGTGATGTGATGTGATGTGATGTGATGTGATGTGATGTGATGTGATCAGATGTGATGTGATGTGATGTGATGTGATGTGATGTGATGTGATGTGATGTGATGTGATGTGATGTGATGTGATGTGATGTGATGTGGTGTGATGTGGTGTGATGTGATGTGATGTGGTGTGATGTGGTTTGATGTGGTGTGATTTGATGCTAGGGTAGGTGGATGTGAGGTGATGTGATGTGATGTGATGTGATGTGATGTGATGTGATGTGATGTGATGCTAGGGTAGGTGGATGTGGAGGTGAGGAGGAAATATGGGGGCGACCTCGTGTGACATTGTCAGGGATGAGGAGAGGTGAGAGAGGGAAGGCAGAAGAGTGGAGACTAGTTCGCGTTTGTATAAGCATGAGCCTCTGGAACTGCGCAATGGGGGGAACGACTTTGTGCATCTTTGTCGGGGACGAGGAGAGGTGAGGGTGGAGGGGGGGAAAGGGAACGAAGGAAAGTTCATGTGTGCGCTTGTGGACGAGCATTAGCTCTGAGACTTTTCCACAGCTGTGGTCCTGACGGAATGGCTCGTGGAATACCCATCTACTGCCCACATTCCTCGACTTCTCCCCACTCTTTCTTTGCCCTCCCTTCCTACCTGATCCCACCCGCCCAGCGGTGGGCAACAACAACAAGAATGTCAGCGCTCAGCGCCCCATGTACTGTACTGCCCCTGTCCTTCTCCTTCCTCTCTCCCCAACCTCCACTCCGAACCCTCTCTCCACTTCCCGAACCCTCCCCCCCTCGCCTCCGATTTCTCCCCCTCTTCCCCTCCATCCAGACTCATCAAAATCGTTCGAGATGTACGATGTCACCGACCCGTCTTCTCTCTTCGCCATCGTCTCACCAGTCCCGCTGCACTACTACTTCCGCACCAACGACGCCCGCCCCTACATGCTGCCCTCTCCTCTCTCCGAAACCCACCCTTGGGAGACACCCGCGGTGGTGCCTCTGGATCAGTTGGGAGCGGGTGTGTGCAGATACGAGGCTTGGTGCAGGTGAGTGAATTCTTATCTTTTTTTTCTTCTTTTTTTTGAAAGGTCCGCATGTTATTTAGTTCCTCTCATCCTTTCCTTTTTTCGGTTACTGTTGTTGTTTTCCCCCATCCCAAGGCACATGTACACGCGCAACCTTCCCTATCTCACACGATATTTGACTATGCCCCTGACCCGAGTTATTAATTATTGTCCTTGCATTATGCTCCTCTGTGTCTGAATAATAGATCTGCACATCCTGTTTTTTTTTTCCATCCAAGAACACACGACCCTCCAGTGTGTGGCAATCGTGGGGCATCCCCATCCTCATCGCCCTCTTCTTGTGCCCTGCATGCATAGTAAAGCATTTTCTGTACAAACAACTTTCCTCCTACTCCCCCCTTACCAGGCACACACAGCCTCCCAGTGCGTGGCAATCGTGGGGCATCCCCATCCTCATCGCTCTCTTCGCCCTCCTCCTCGTGCTGCTCGTGCTGGTAGCGGCGCGGATCCAGCGAGCCCAGTTCTTCCAGACGCAGCAGCAGATGGCGGGTGCAGACAAACTGAGGAGGAAGGCAGAAGACGCGGAGGCGTCAAAGAGCATGTTTGTCGCGTGCATGTCTCACGAGCTCAGGACACCAATGATGGGGATCATTGGTACGATCGAATGTCGGTTACATTGTCACGGTTTGTTGTTTTGACTACATGTGGGTTGTCAAACGGTGGTCAAAGAATCTCGCATCCCTAGTTCCTCAAGCATTCATGAGGCTGATGAGCTCATCCATGTCACTTTTTTTATGCCATACAAATTCCTTTCTCCACCCTTCTCTTCCCCCAGGCATGCTCGATGCGCTAGCGGACATGGCTCTCCAACCCCCTGAGCTGTCAGACCTCCTCACGGCACGAGGTTGCGCGATGGATGCACTGCATCTGGTCAACCGTGTATTGGACCTGGCGAAGCTGGAGGCAGGCAAGGCGGTGGCGGATGAGACAGTGATTGATGTGCGATCGTGGCTAGATGCTGTGCTGGACTGGCACGCAGAGGTTGCACGCTCCAAAGGCATCGAGTGTGAGTACACAAAAAAATCCTGGTATTCAAGCTTTGATATGCTTGAAACTAGTCATGTCTAACAAAACAATCATATGGTTTTCCTCTCACATGTGCTCCTAACAATGCTAGTACATTACGTCGTTGAGCTTCCCTTGTTTTTTGCTTACACTACAAAGTCTTCCTTCTTCTTGTCTCCTCCTACTTCAGTTTGTGGCAGTGTGGACAATGATGTTCCAACTTTCATTATTGCCGACCCAATGCACCTCTCCAAAGTTCTCAAGGAAATCACGGGTATGTGGAAGGCATGTGATGAAGGTAGACAAAAGGTTTTCACCGAGTAATATATCTATTAGTACGAGATCAATCGAAGCCCGATTTGTCTCAAACTGGCCAAATGGTCGAACTGGAACCAAGTGAGGACCAAGTGAGGACCCGAGCTAAGCTATGTTGGAGTCGACGTGCCACCTTGTGCGAATGAAAGCTACAACAATATGGATGGAAGATTTACTATAATCGTGTCATTTCGACTGTAGACATCAGCACGAACCGAACCCGAACTCGTTTGTCCCGAGCTTTGACAAGCCTACGGCTTTGTCGAGCCGAACAAGTTCGGTTTGTCCAAACATTTTTTTACAATGCTGAGGTTCCAGGTTCGGCAATACACTGTTGAACCTTTGGATGTTCACCAAACTGATAAAGTTTAATTTGAACTCCATCAGGTCCGGTTCGAGATGCCATTTCGTTCCTCACTTAAGTGGACCAAACTATTTCGTGTGTGCGGAGAGTCACTGTACTCTACACCGGGAGCTGGACTACTCGGAAAGCATGGGTGGTACGAGTGATCGTAGCGTTCCTTGCGTTCTCTGGCACTTGCGCGTTTACAGAGCAAAACAGCAAGAGTTTCACTAACATAAGTTGATAATAATGATACAAAGATGGTAGGAAACGATGGCTATATCAGGGATCTAGCAACCTAGCAGATTGGCAAATCGATCACCAGCGTAGCAAGTCGGCGGCCCGCCAGCGCAGCAAGTCGGCGGCCTGCCAACGCAGCTCGATGGCGACTTGCCAGCATTGCAAGTCGGCGATTTGCCAGCGCTGCACCAGAGCTGCTTGCCGACGTTGCGGCAATGCGGCTTGCCAGCGTTGCAACCGCACATGACTACAGCACACATGCACGAACCCATTTCGCAGGTCCTGGTCGACGGTTGAGCACGTCGTGCACTATCACGCACATTGCGCAGGTGCCAAGTCGGCCACGTGCCGACCGTTGCGCCGGATGTGCCACGCCGACCTCGTGCGCACGTGAAATTGCCACGTAGGTCGGCCTCGCCAAGACCACCTGGATGAAGTTCCCGCACTCCCGCAGACCTTAGTCAGCCAGGTTACACGGTCGACCAGAGGAGGGCGCCGACGTCCACAAGTCAGCGTCATGTCCAAGAACACTTTTGTCGGTAGCCGACTTCACCTCGCCGACCAACACCACGGTCGGCTTCGCTGAAGCCGGCCTCCTCCAGGGCGGCTCACCGTCGAAGCTGGCTAACCACGCCGATTTGAGCCTCCAAATAGGCTAACCAGCAAGTCGGCCAATCAAGTCGACTTGCCCCTCCAAGTCCGCTAACCAAGCCGACTTGGCCGACCACAAAGTCGGCTCCGCCGTTCGTTGAAGTCGGCTTCGCAGTGGTCGGCTTCGCAATGGTCGGCTTCGTAGTGGTCGGCTTCACCGAAGTTGGATAACCGCCGAAGTCGGCCAACCAAGTCGACTTGCTCCTCCAAGTTAGCACCGACTACGAAGCCTAGCCCGCTGCACACCTTGCAAGCCAGACAATGAATCCGGCTTCGCCCAAGCAAGGGCGGAGCCTTTTCTCGTCAACAGTGTGGAACCAACTGAGGACCCGGGCTAAGCTATGTTGGAGTCGACGTGCTACACTGTGCGAATGAGAGGTATAACAATATGGATGGAAAATTTACTCCAATTGTTCCACCTCGAGTGTAAGCACAAACCGAACCCGAAGGGGTGTTCCCGAGCTTTGACAAACCTACTTCTTTGTCGAGCCGAAGAAGTTCGGTTCGTCCAAACATTTTCTTACGATGCTGAGGTTGGAAGTTCGGCAGTACCCTGTCGAACTTTCGGATGTTCGCTGAATTGAGAAGAGAAGGGTTCAGTCGAACTCCATCATGTTCGATTCGAGATGCCATTTCGCTCGTCACATTGAAAGTGGCCTTGTACTTTCGGGTTACCAAGACCTATTGTGCAGGATATCTTGGAGTATGTATGGGAGACGTTGACCCAAGCTTAAACTTTCCAGGGCATTTCTTTGATCCCACCAAATCTCGCATTTCGCCGCCAGATCCCCTCGGATCTTTCATTCTGCCGCCAGATCCCCACAAATCTTGCATTTCGACGCCAGATCCCCACAAATCTTGCATTTCGACGCCAGATCCCCACAAATCTTGCATTTCGACGCCAGATCCCCACAAATCTTGCATTTCGACGCCTGATCCCCACAAATCTTGCATTTCGACGCCTGATCCCCACAAATCTGGCATTTAGCCACCAGCTCTTCACGGATCTGGCATTTCGTGGTCGGATTCTCGCTCTGGCATCTGCGAAACCTAAACCTTAAACCTGAAACCCTAACTGAACTTACGTTTAGAAACCAGGTGCGACTCATATTGGCCCTTCACGCCCTGAAATCATTACTGTCATCGCGTGGATTGTAGACATATCTGTCGAACTCATTCTGCCAAATAAGGACACAGTTTTCCTTATAAATATGGGAAAACGGGTACCTGATGGATCTTATAAATGGGAATGGTTTATCATACACAGTGTTATTCTAACCACTATGTAAACTCCTACAGATGGGTTCTCGAAATGAGTACAAATGTTCCAAAGCTGCCGGCTTTGGCAATCATTATTGGGAATGTCATGTCAAAAGAAATGCCCGCTGACGCAGGATGAGATAAAATCTGGATTATCTAAGTCAGCTCGTGCACAAATTCTTGCGAGCACAGATACAATTGTATGCGCTATTTTATTTTTTGGTGGCGCATATTACTGTGCCGATTATAAGGCATGTGCGTCATGTCTAATACTGGCAATAAGATCCTTGATAGAAAGAATTCTTCTTTATAGGAATAAAATATAATTGTGACTTCAAGTTGGCACTGTCTTCTATCCGGGCGATTACGTCGGTAACTTGGCCGAGCTAGGCTAGACCATCCCATTGTTCAGAAAGTAGGTGCAAACTTGCTTTCCTCAATCAACATAGTCAGTGGTTGTGTGTTGTCAGTGGTTCTTTTTTTTCGATTTTTTTTTTCCTTTTTTTTTTCTTTTTTTTTTGGCACACCGCCGCTTGGGTTGGATGTTTCAGATAATGCAGTGAAATTCACGGAGCAAGGCCACGTGACAGTGCATGTGTCCCTGGTGCCACACAGAACAAGTTTGCAAGACACCCTTCATTGCCAGGGTAAGCGACTATGCGAGCATTGACAATAGAATGTGGGGCTCATTCCCCTCTTCATATTAATGCAAGCATCGACATCAGCGAGCACCTTTCAACCTTTGCCCACTTCGTTATGTGCCTCTCTAAGATGATGCATGCATTGACACAAGGCCCATGGCCATGTCAACAACGCATTCCCTCTAATCGTGACCCTTTGCTATTGCCTTTCTCCCCCAGGCTTTTCCACCACCGTCCCTCGTGCACCCACTTCCACATTCACTAGCTGGACCTCTGCCTGGTCTTACTCAACATTTTGCCGGCTGAAGGAAGCTGCAAAGGCGTTGCCAGAAGCAGCAGCAAGTGCAACTAGCAACGCATTATGTGGATCAAGGGAGGGGAGGGGGGATGCCAGGAGTCCAGAGGGGGCCAATGGGCAGCGGCCAGCTGTGCTGGTGGTGTCATGCCGTGACTCGGGATGCGGCCTGCCAGCGTCTCTCCTCGGAGTTCACAGCAGCAGAGAGGCTTCGCACTTCTCGCTTGCGGTGAGTGTGAATGAGGGAGTAAGTTTCGTGTCACCTGTGGGAGGTCTAGTTTTGAGGCGCCTCAAAACTAGTTTCAGGTCACCTGTGGGAGGTGGAATTCTTCAGGATGCGGCCTGCCAGCGTCACTCCTCGGAGTCCACAGCAGTAGAGAGGCGTCGCACTTCTCGCTCGCGGTGAGTGTTAGCTCTTACGTTGCTGGTTGCTGGTGGTGTCGTGACGGGATTTGGGGTGCTGCCTGGGAGGGGCCCTAACACTCAGGTTCAGGGTTCCTTTCTCCATCCGCTTATTTTTTTTAGTCGACTCAAAAGCAGATTCAGAAGTCGTTCATCCATCCGTTTATTTTTTTTAGTCGACTCAAAAGCAGATTCAGAATTCGTTCATCCATCCGTTTATTTATTTTAGTCGACTCAAAAGCAGATTCAGAAGTCGTTCATCCATCCGTTTATTTTTTTTAGTCGACTCAAAAGCAGATTCAGGGTTCCTTTTTCCATCCGTTCTTGTGCCGTTTTTTGGGCTGCCTGCTGCCTCAAAAACAGACTCAGTGTGTTCTTTTCGCATCCCACTCCCCTGCGTTTTCAACCCCCTTATGCCTCTCGCCTCTCATTCCCTCTTACCTGTCCATTTCCTCATACGTCCCTTCTCTCGCAACCCAACCCCGTCCTACCTGGATCCGACACTTGTAATACCCTGCTCTCATACTGCTCCCATCCACCCCATCCCATGCCATCCCATCCCATGCCATTCCATCCCATGCCATCCCATCTCATCCCATCCCATCCCGTCCCGTCCCGTCCCATCCCATCCCATGCCATGCCATCCCATCCCATCCCATGCCATGCCATGCCATGCCATCCCGTCCCGTCCCGTCCCGTCCCGTCCCGTCCCGTCCCATCCCATCCCATGCCATGCCATGCCATCCCATCCCATCCCATCCCATCCCATCCCATCCCATCCCATCCCATCACATCCCATCCCATCCCATCCCATCCCATCCCATCCCATGCCATCCCATGCCATGCCATGCCATGCCATGCCATGCCATGCCATCCCATCCCATCCCATGCCATGCCATGCCATGCCATGCCATGCCATCCCATGCCATGCCATCCCATCCCATCGCATCCCATCCCATCCCATCCCATCCCATCCCATCCCATCCCATGCCCTCCCATCCCATGGATCTCATCCTGGCTGTAACCCCTTGGCGTGGCTTGGCATGGCATGGCATGGCATGGCATGGCATGGCATGGCATGGCATGGCACCCCACCATCCATGAGTTGCACGAGGCAGGGAGTGGGCCAGGAGCATCGCTTGGCCTTGTGCTCATGCACCAGATGGTGAGTGCTCATGCACCAGATGGTGAGTGCTCATGCACCAGATGGAGAGTGGCCACTTCATGATGATCCGTTTTTTTTGGTAGTGGCAGAATTTTTTTTTTGTCGATCCAAAAGCAGACTTCTAGAGCTTCAACACAAGGCCAATTGAGAATGTGATTGGTAGTGGCGGAAATTTGAGCCTTGAGAGTGTCGTTAGGACATTGAGAACTGTAGCTTCAAACATGTCTTATAAGGGAGTAATGCACACACTACAGTGCAATGCTGGCATACCAATGTGACAATGTCATGCCTTCAACATGACGTGGCTTAGTTTACTACTTTCTCTTTTGTAACCCTCAGGTGACTTTAATGAAGGGGGAGATTGCCTTTGATTCCCAGCCTGGCTGTGGCTCCACTGTGGCATTTTCCGTGCCCGTGGCCGTTCCCTCGATACAAGAACACTCCTCGCTACAAGAACACTGCTCATATGAGGAAGCAGAAGTGTTGGAATCGCAAGACTTGCAGAGTCAGCAGCAGCAAGGGGGGGCGTCATGGTTCTGTGAGAGTCAGGAAACAGGGTCAGGCAATTCCCCAGGTGGTTCCAGCAGTACTCGAGAGCAGGATACAGGTTCAGGAGTTTTTTCAGGTGTTGGCAGCAGTACACAGAAACATGGGCTGGAATCAAGGGAGGAGTGTGAAGAAAAGCACAGCCAGGAGAATTATCAGGTGGTTCAGCAGAACCTGAACCAGCAGCAGCAACAGCCGCAGCCGCAGCAGTCACAGCATCAACATGAGCGATCACTAGCGGGAACGGGGAGGGTAGGCAGTGCAGGAGAAGTCTCAACAGTCTTAGATCAAAGAGCAGCACGCGGGAGAGCAAGAGACAGGTCTCGTCGATCCGTCTCTGTAGCCGAAATCACCGCCACAACCACGGGACTACGAGCGGCGGCGGATGAGGTGGTGACGCGGGCGTGGGTGGGCGGGCTGCGAGTGCTGGTGGTGGACGACACGCCCGTCAACCTCCTCGTGGCCCGCCGCTCCCTCGCCCGCTGGGGCGCCCGAGTCACCACTGCTTCCCGAGGGGAGGAGGCACTTGAGTTGATTGCTGCTGACCTTGTCTCCACCACCTCCCGAGGAGAGGAGGCGCTTGGCGGGTTAGTTAGAGCAGGTGCTCGGGGGGCTGGTGAGATGGGTGAGAGTAGCGGCAAGGAGATAGCGGCTGGGGAGCTGGTTGGGAGCAGTGCGGATAGTAGGGAGGGGTTTGGCGCAAGTGGAGCAAGGGGAGCTAGTGAGAGAGGAGGTGATGCACGAGGAGTGGATGGGAGAGGCGGGGACGGAAGAGGAGGGAATGAAGGAGGCCGTGCATCATTGCAGCATGGCTTCGACTTGGTTCTCATGGACCTGCAGATGCCGGGCATGGACGGGTGAGTGGTGGTGGGTGGTGGTGAGTGGTGGTGAGTGGTGATGAGTGGTGGGTGGGCATACACGGGTGAGTGGTTGTGAGTGGTGGTGGGTGGTGGTGAGTGGTGGTGAGTGGGGGTCAAGGATTGGTGGGTCATGAAGCAAGGTGCAACAACTGAGGCCCAAGTGTGTAACTGTGCTGCTCCTCCCTTCCCCTTCCCATAGCAAAGTGTGAACCTTGAAGTGCGAGCCTATATTTTCCCTCCCTTGCCTTGCCACATTCGCAGCAACAGAGGCGATCTGAGCTTTCGAGAGAAATCTTATGTTGGAAATGGCACAAGAGGTGCAGCAGGGAAGAAACCCTGTATTGCCCCTGTCTTGCCCCTCCCTTGCCTTGGCAGGTTCGCAGCAACAGAGGCGATCCGTGCATACGAGAGAAAGCTTATGCTGGGCATGGCACAAGAGGCACAGCAGGGAAGAGAGCAGGGGAGGGAGGAGGAAAGGGAGCAGCAAGGAGCATTGGCTTCAGAGGGAAGTATGGGAGGGCAACAGGGAAGCGTGCAGCAGGGAAGCATACAGCAGGGGGACATATGGGAGAGCGCAGGGGGGAGAGCAGCAGTGGCGGGAGAGATGCACAGGCGGGGCATGAGCTGTGGAGGAGACTGGGGGAGGGGAGAGAGATTTGTGCACAGGGAAATGGGAGGACAAGGAGGGCAGATTGAGGGAGCTTCTAGGGCTGGTTCGTCTGCTCTGCAAGCCTCTCACCTAGAAGCTGCTAACGCTGCTGCTGCTGCTGCTGCTGCTGCTGCTGCTGCTGCTGCTGCTGCTGCTGCTGCTGCTGCTGCTGCTGCTGCTGCTGCTGCTGCTGCTGCTGTTGCTGCTGCTGCTGCTGCTGCTGCTGCTGCTGCTGCTGCTGCTTCTTTGAGTGCCCAGGCTGTCTCCCTGCGGGTGCCCATAGTGGCTCTGACGGCAGACGTGGATCGTGGAGTGGTGCAGAGGTGTGCAGAGGGGGGATTTGACGGTGTGCTGCAGAAGCCAGTGGATGCCCACCTGCTCGCCGCCCACCTCTCCCAAATGTGCTTCCACCGCTCCCTCGGGCGATAGCAGTCTCTGGGACGGTAGCACTCACCCTCACTGCACTTCCACTGCTCCCTCGGGCGATAGCAGTCTCTGGGACGGTAGCACTCACCCTCACTGCACTTCCACTGCTCCCTCGGGCGATAGCAGTCTCTGGGACGGTAGCACTCACCCTCACTGCACTTCCACTGCTCCCTCGGGCGATAGCAGTCTCTGGGACGGTAGCACTCACCCTCACTGCACTTCCACTGCTCCCTCGGGCGATAGCAGTCACTCCATCACTCATTCTTTCCGCACCCACCTGCTCGCCGCCCACCTCTCCCACATGCACTCCCACCAATCACTTGGACGGTAGCACTCGGTCATAAGCAGTCCCTCCTAACGCACCTCTCCCAACTGCACTTCCACCACACGCTACAGCAGTAGCAGTCACTCACAGCGCACTTCTCAAAACCCAAATGCACTTTTGTCCCTTTCTCAGGCAATAGCACTCACCCGCAGCAGTAGCAGTCACTCACAGCGCACTACCCAAAAAGCCACCCACCCAAACTACTGACCGGCTGGACGCTGATTGCACTTCCACCACTCGCTCTGGTGGTAGCAATCACTCCAACACTCCAACACTCACACGCTCCAACACTCCAACACGCACACACTCACACGCTCCAACACTCCAACACTCACACGCTCCAACACTCCAACACGCACACACTCACACGCTCCAACACTCCAACACTCCAACACTCACACACTCACACGCTCCAACACTCCAACACTCACACACTCACACGCTCCAACACTCCAACACTCACACACTCACACGCTCCAACACTCCAACACTCACACTCACACCCCGTCCGCAACTCACTCACTCAGGCTGCATCACAGGTCAGTCCCACACAAAGTATTGGCAGACTGTCCACGGACAGGCGGCTTCGCAGTCCGCTCCTGACTTGTTGGAGACGGTTTTGCAACGAGGAAGGAGCGAAGAGGAAGGAGCGACGAGGAAGGACAGGCCAGGCCTACCGTGTTCAACCTAGCACCAGAACAGGGGTTTTTCTTGCCGTCATCCCCTTGAGAATCACCTGAAGGGGACGGGGGTCACCAGGTGCTCTTTCTAATTGGACCCGGGTTGAATTGAATCCCAAGTTCTCTTTTTGTATCAAACTCCAGGTGTGGTTTTGCAGTGGGTCACAAAAGGCGAAATACAATGCGGTGCCTCGCTAGGTTGAAGGCGGTGCAGCGCTTTACAACGCATTTTGTGACGCAAGGTTTTTGTGGCACCCATATTGCTTGTACAGAGTGGTGATTCCGAAAAGGTTGTGGCGCACAACCCATCTTTTTACGTTAGTCTGTATCTGTTTTTCTACAATTCTCAGGAAGGTTGTGGCCCGCAGCCTTTTCTCTTACGTAAGTCTGACTCTGATGCAATCATGCCGAGACACTGCGTGCTTTTGTTTCTTCAGCGTGCTCTGCTGCATGCCCTGAGGCTTAGTTACACATGCCCTGCATCAATAGTTGAGCGCGCCCCACGGGACAAATTAAGTGCCTCAACGTGTCTTTTGAGTAGACTCAAAAGGCGTGAGTGTTCAACACTAAGTAAAGCACTGTGCTGTGCCCCTCGACTTGATGTTTGTTTGCTGCACAAGGGTGTGGCACTTGGAAGTAAACTTTTGAGTCGACTCACAAGTCAACTTGGATGGAAGTAGTGCCTGATAGGTATGTTGAACAAGAGAGCTGTTCTTGCAGGTTTGTGTATTTTCAATTCCACCAAGAAACATGCATGGGTCCAGACTAGACCGTGGGACTTGTAATTCTGGTCGTTGTTGGCATGAGAGCTTGCTGCATTGCGTACAAGGGCGCATGAGTGAGTATTATCGCTAGCATGACTGCTTCCGCCGGAGGGAGCGATGGAAGTGCGTTTGGCTTTTGAGTAGTGCGCTGGGAGCGATTGCTACCGCTGCAGCGAGCAGAGGAAGTGCATGTGGGAGAGGTGCGCTGGGAGGGACTGCTATAGCTCGAGGGAGTGGTGGAAGTGTGGTATAGAAGTCACTCCAGTGGCTCCTTTCACCTAAGGGGGTGGTGGAAGCATTTGGCCTTTGAGTGCGCTGGGAGGGACTGCTAATTTCTGAGTGCTACTGGTGGAGGGAGCGATGGAAGTGTATGTGGGAGAGGTGGGCGGCGAGCAGGTGGGCATCCACTGGCTTCTGCAGCACACCGTCAAACCCCCCCTCTGCACACCTCTGCACCACTCCGCGATCCACGTCTGCTGTCAGAGCCACTATGGGCACCCGCAGAGACAAGGCTGGCTGTCACCAGGAGGAGCAGCAGCATCAGGGTTTGCAGCAGCGTTGGAGGCTTTTAGGGGAGAGGCGCTCAGAGAAGACGAACCAGCCCTAGAAGCCCCCTCAATCTGCCCTATTCCTCCTGTCTCCCGTGGCAAAAAACTCTCTCCCCTGCTCCCTCTCCCCCCCATACGTCCCCCCCAGTCCCCTCCGCAGCTCACTCCCCGCCTGTGCATCTCCCTGGGCGCTGCTGCTCCCCTCCCTGCGCCCTCCCATCTCCCTCCCTGCTGTAGAATCCCCTCTGTCCCAGTCAGCCCTTCTCTGCTCGCCATGCCTCCAGGCCTTGACGTCGCCCCTGGCACCACTGCACCTGTTACAGGGCCTGCTGCTGCTGAGTTTTGAGGCCCCTCTATACCTGTTGCAGGCCCTGCTGCTCTTGGCGCTGTTGCTGCTGCTGTTGCTGCTGGGCCCACATCTGTCATCAGGTGCGCCTCTGGTGCCCTCTCCAACATAAACTTTCTCTCCAGAGCTCGAATCGCCTCTGTCGCTGCGAACCTGTAGGGGAAGCAAGGAGGGAACGTTTGACTTGGTTTAACATGTGACAGCTTGAGACATAAGCATGAGAAGTACCATGAGGCATAAACACCAATGTTCACCACTCACCTGTCATGGCATAACCATGAGGGTGTGCGTGCATGAGTCGTCACTCACCCATCCATGCCCACCACTCACCACCATTCACCACCACTCACAACCACTCACCACCACTCACCCGTCCATGCCCGGCATCTGCAGGTCCATGAGAACCAAGTCGAAGCCATGCTGCAACGATGCACTTCCTGCTCTATCATCCTCTCCTCTTCCACCCCTTCCTCTTCCACTCCCTCCTCTCTCATCCGCTCCTCTCTCGCTCACTCCCCTCGCCCCGCACCCATCCCTACTATCCGCACTGCTTCCAACTAACTCCCCAGCCGCTATCCCCTTGCCTCTACTCTCAACCATCTCGCCAGCCCTCCCAGCACCTGCTCTCACTAGCTCGCCAATCGCCCCTCTCTCCCCCTCCTCCCCTCTTCCCTCTACCAACCCAGCAGCCAGTAAGCCAGCAGCTTCCTCCCCCATCCTCCCTGCCACGCCAGCAGCAATTGGGTCAACGGCCTTCTGCCCTCTCCCGTCGTCCAGCTTTCTGCTCTCCTTGACCCCAGCAGCGATTAAGTCCACTGCTTGTTGCCCGTGGGAGGCGGTGGTGACTTGGGCGCCCCAGCGGGCGAGGGAGCGGCGGGCCACGAGGAGGTTGACGGGCGTGTCGTCCACCACCAGCACTCGCAGCCCCCCCACCCACGCCCGCGTCACCGCCTCATCCGCCGCCGCCCGCAAGCCTGACCCAGCAGCTGCCCCTCCAGTGGCTGCATTGGCAGAACCGGGTCGAGGAGGGTGTTCGATTGCGCTCATGCTCTTTCTCACGCTCCTCCTGCTCTCTCGCTCTGCTGTTCTCTCGATGGCTCTTGAGCTGTCTTTCTCGTTTTCAACCCTCCCTGTCCCTTTGAGGGGCCGAGGTGACTTTTGAGTGAGCGGCTCAGGAGTGTTGAGGGCGCTTGAGCACTCTCCCTCGCTGCCCACCAACCGTGTCCCTGCTAGTGATCGTCCCAGTTGCTGCTGGGATGCTTGCTGCTGTTGCTGCTCCTCTTGCTGCTGCTCCTGCTGCTGCTGGCATGACTCAAGTTGATGATAATGGTGTTGCTGCTGACTCGGCACGTTTAGCAGCTCCAATGAATGAGGTTCCTCGTCCGAGCAGTGTTCTTGTAGCGAGTTTTCTTGTATCGAGTGTCCTTGTAGCGAGTGTTCTTGTAGCGAGCAGTGTTCTTGTAGCAAAGAGTGTTCTTGTAGCGAGGGAACGGCCACGGGCACGGAAAACGCCACAGTGGAGCCACAGCCAGGCTGGGAATCAAAGGCAATCTCCCCCTTCATTAGAGTCACCTGCGAGTCGTCAGAAAGAAGTACAACAAAAAAAATGGTGGAGGTCAATTGTTGCACTCATTGCTTCTATTTCACCACTTCCCTCCAAAGCTCGCATATTCATTCGTCCTTACTGAGGTGCCTTCTTGGAGTTTCTGCATTTCTCCAATGTTGCTACCTACTCTGCTATGTTCCCTTAAGACATGCGGACATGACTATAAATGTGCAACCACGGCCATGCTTGGAAGTGGGAGATGGTTGAAACGAACACAAGAGACTGTTATCCCAATACATTACATTACATTGCACTACATTACATACAAACATGCGCAAATAAGCCAGTCGAGTACATCCTTATGGCTTGTCGTGCATTTGCAAAGTGGCAAAATTATGGCAGCATAAATAGACCTTGCTTCGATACACATGCATTCCAAAATGATGCTTCTGAAAAAAGAATAAACACAATATTTATATACATATATTATGCATGTGTACTGTATACTATTTATTGATACATAGAACATGAAGTGGAAAGGAAACTCACAATCTGGTGCATGAGCACAAGGCCAAGTGATGCCCCTGATCCACTCCCTGTCTCGTGCAACTCCTGGGTGGTGGGGTGCCATGCCGTGCCATGCCATGTGGGATAGGGAAAGGATGAGTGACAGCAGTGACCGAAGAGTCAGGGAGGGAGCAGAAGTGAGACGGGACGTGGGAGTGAATGAGGATAGAGAGAGAAAGGTTGCGAAGACCAAGGTGGGAAGAGAGCGAGGGCGAGGGGGGACTGAGGAATTGAGGAGGGAAGGGTTGAGGGGAGGTCCAGTGCAAAGGCAAGACAGATAAGGCGAGTAGATCACGTTCCGTCACTGCGCTGCACCTCATACATGGAACATGAGAGCCGATGAGAGTCAGAAACAGCCTCACTCCCATTGCACGCGAGCAGTGTGACGCGCCCCTGTTGCCATTAACTCAAAGGACGGACACTGGTAGGCCGCATCTCAAATTCCGGCACGACGCCACCAGCGACAAGAGAGCTAATGAATAACAACTCACTGCTGGCGAGAAGTGCGACGCCCCTTCCCTGCTGCGGTGGATTCTTATGAGAGACGCCGGCAGGCCGCACCCCGAGTCCCGGCATGACACCACCAGCGACAAGAGAGCTAATGAACAACAACTCACTGCTAGCGAAAAGTGCGAAGGCTCCTTGCTGCCGTGAATTCCGTGGAGGGACGCTGGCAGGCCACATCCCGAGTCCCGGCACGTCACCACCAGCACAGCAGGCCGATCCCTTGAAGGGCTGCTTGATGCACTTGATGCTGCCGCTGCCGCTGCTGCTGCTGCTGCTGCTGCTGCTGCTGCTGCTGCTGCTGCTGCTGCTGCTGCTGCTGCTGCTGCTGCTGCTGCTGCTGCTGCTGCTGCTGCTGCTGCTGCTGCTGCTGCTGCTGCTGCTGCTGCTGCTGCTGCTGCTGCTGCTGCTGCTGCTGCTGCTGCTGCTGCTGCTGCTGCTGCTGCTGCTGCTGCTGCTGCTGCTGGCAATCTCCTCACGGCCTCCTTCAGCCAGTGCCATGATGAGGAGAACCAGGCAGCCAAGACGGTGAGAGTGGAAGCAGGTGCATGAGCGGCGGTTGTGAAAAGACCTGGAGGAACAAGGCAAAAATGGAAGGAAAGATAGAGAGGGCGTGAGGAATGACAAACATGAGACGTGTGCTAGTTACTGTCAATGCGTGGGCATGAAGCAAGGGGAAGAGCAGAGCAGCTGACGAAAAAGGAGAGACAGGGGGCAATCGAGAATCAATTGACCTGCCTTGCCACTTCGTCACACAGATCTGTCGATGGTCACGAATCTGCTTACCCTGGCAACGAAGGGCGTCTTGCAAGCTTGTCCCTCGAGGCACCAGGGACACCCGCACTGTCACGCGGCCTTGCTCCGTGAACTTCACGGCGTTATCTGAAAGGAAACCAAGGTGGTGGTGTGCAAAAGAGAAACCACACAATGCACATGTAAGAAAGGAGAACTGGAAGAGAACAACATGTACACCCATTTTATGACTTAACTTCACAGAAGACGACTCAAGAGTCAACGTATTACAGTACATGCGTTCCAAGTACCTGTGATCTCTTTGAGCACTTTGGAGAGGTGCATCTGATCGCCAACGATGTGGCCCGGAACGTTGTCGTCCACAATGCCGTGCGCTGGAGGTTCGGCGGAGAAACAAAAGAAAAGGAAAATACAGTCAGCACCAATGGAAATCCATACACGGTAGGCATGGGCATGGCCCAGACCTGGACCGCACCGCATCAGGCCTACCCAGGCTGGCCACGATGGTGGGTCAAGCCCGGTCCCGAGGGTCGCTGAAAGGAGTCGGGCCGAGATAGGTCTAGGTCGACCCTCACGCATCTCGGGTTATGTTGAATGAGCTGTCACAGAACCTGCACGGAAGATGCCCAATTGATCATAGGGAAGGGTTGCCTTGGAGTTTATGAACGCACTCACTCGCTATTCAACAAGCCATTCCATCCAAATGGTCAAACGGCTGAGACTTTGACATGGTATCAGAGCAAAGGTATCGGGTTCGAATCCCCATGTGTGCACATGCTGACAGTGCTGCTGTGCCGTTTCCTAAGGCATCCCTGAGAGAGGAGGGGTGTCAGAAGACCTGCACTGGAGATGCCTGATTATTGAGTATAAGATTTATGAACTACTTACATTCAATACTGACCATAGGTTAAAGTAACACAATTACACTTCACTAGATCCAATCCACCCACCTCAATGAGCCAGTTATATTCTACTTTGGAACGTGACGCCTTCACATGCCACTCCAACGCTGCACGAAGTCACACACGCACAATGAAGCATGTCTCATCCAACACCACAGCTTGCCTCAATGAGCGACTCACATTCTATGCCTTTGAAACGTGCCACCTCCATATGCCAATCCATTGCCTCGTGAAGCCACTCGCGCACCATGAAGCTCGTCTCATCCACCACCGCCTTGCCTGCCTCCAGCTTCGCCAGGTCCAACACGCGGTTGACCAGATGCAGTGCATCCATCGCACAACCCCGTGCCGTGAGGAGGTCCGATAGCTGAGAGCTTTGGAGAGACATGTCTGCCAAAGCATCGATCATGCCTGGTGGGAGGGAGGCAAAGAGAGGGATGCATGAAAGAAGGTGCATAGTATCAAGGAAAAGATAGCATGCTTAAGGTTTGTAATCAGTTGGTTACGGCGGTGGGAGAGTCATGGTTGTTAGTGGTATGATAAGGGTGAGTGATGTCACAAGAACATCATATGGAGGACGAGCTTGAGGTGTGATGTTTAAAACCGGAGTCCCAAACAGGCCTAAACTGCCTCAAGCTTCCTAACTTTGGTTGGGTGTGACCCTGTAGATATTGACTCACTTCGCAAATTGTCGGGACAAATTTCGCCACGCGAAATTACTGTACTAGCGAGAGCGATAGGAGTGACGATTTCGCACAAAAATTTGAAGCCCGTCCGAAACTTTTGCAAGTTATTTCGTACGTTGCATTCAAAATCTGGTTACACACGCGAGGTACTCAGGCTCTGCGATCGGCGTCCACAAATCGCGACACCACCCTGGTTCGCGCGCCACTGACGTCCCTTGCCCCAACCAAGCTTCCTAAGTTAGAAACTCTTGGAACTCCGGTTTTAAAGTGGCACTACCTGGTTTTTTAGAATTCTCAAAAACCAGCTTGATGTGTGATGTTTTAAGTGGCACTGATGCCTTAACAACTGTTTCATGGTAGGCCTTGCATGCGGCTATAAAAAATGTGTTCGAACGCACCGATAATCCCAGTCATCGGCGTCCTGAGCTCGTGAGACATGCACGCCACGAACATGCTCTTTGACGCCTCTGCGTCCTCTGCTTCCTTCCTCAGTTTGTCTGCAACTGCCATCTGCTGATGCGTCTGGAAGAACTGGGCTCGCTGGATCCGAGCGGCTACCAGCACGAGCAGCACGAGGAGGAGGGCGAAGAGGGCGATGAGGATGGGGATGCCCCACGATTGCCACGTGCTGGAAGGTTGTGTGTGTCTGGATGCGACGGGGAGGGGATGGGGGGATCACAGGAAGGTGATGAGGGCGAGGAGGGCGATGAGGGGGATGAGGGGGATGAGGATGGGGATGCCCCACGATTGCCACGTGCTTTGAGGCTCTGAGTGCCTGGACGAGGGAGAATGATGGGTAGGTTGTGCAGATTCATTATGCGTAACAAAATAGGAAGGCTTTGCACAACACACGCGTCGTATGTGCCTCTTTACAATGCTGGTCTTGACAGTCCTAATTCCCCAACAAAAATATCGCCCGCTAAATAATATGGTTTTTGTGCAAATGTACGCTCGTAACAGAAACAGAGAGCCAAGGCTTGCCTTACCTGTTCAAGGCAACAACCTCTACATTCAAAGGACTCTGATGGGTCTGGATGTATGTTCAACCCACATAGGTTTTGATGACTCACCTGCACCAGACCTGATATGTCTTGAATTTTCTTGAATTTCTAAGAACAAGTTTCTTACAGTATTGATCCTTTTCCTTAAGCGTGTTCTAAAGGTTTGCTGCTACTCCTGACATGAATCTTGATACGTTTTGATGACTCACCTGCACCAAACCTCATACTTGCGCACGCCAGCCCCCAGCTCCTCCAGAGGCACCATAGCCGGCCTTTCCCAGGGGCGGGTTTCGGATGCAGGCGAGGGAAGCATGCGAGCGGCGGGATCGGTGGGGAGGACGTAGATGTGCAGCGGTACGGGCGAGACTATGGCAAAGAGGGTCGATCTGTTCGCGACGTCATAGAGCTCAAAGGACTTTGATGGGTCTGGATGGATGGGAGGGAAGGAGGGGCGAGAGAGAAAGAGGTTTCCAGAATGCTTAACCACAATATGGGAAATATAAGTGGTTAAATAGCCAGATTACCATGGTCCCGATTGTGGTTGATAAGCGGCAGCTTTGGGCAAGGTATTTATCGGTTCGGTTCTAATCACTGGAGGGTTGGTTGGCATGACACTCACCAGGTGCGTACAACTCTTGCACGACTTTCTTTGCAATGGATGTCACGTCGACGGATGCAGCAAGCGTCCCATACACCATCGACACGGCTCCATGCTGCGACTGGCTTGGTGGGAGAGTGCGGCGAAGAGGAAAGGCCACACCTGTGTCAACGTCGGTGAGAGGAAGAGACAAAAAACAAAGGCATTCATCTGATTATTTTCAAGGGCGAACATCCATCCACTTCGATAGGAGACAAAACGTTCTTCTGCAAAAACTTAGAGCCGAAAACCTTACTCTAGACCGCTAAACACTGCACACACAAAAAAAAACTGGTGAGATCTGCTTGCCAGCACTCCAAGAACACAAACAACTTGTTTCTCATAGGCTCAAAGAGATTTGCAGCTCACCGAACCCAGCATTGGTTGACGAATTAGCCAGGGGGTATGGCCACGTGTAGAAAGGCCTTCCCTCCACAGCCAGCGGAACTTCTGTGGGAAACCGCTTCATGAGATCAACATTCTGCGTGCCGTTCATGGCCACTGTTGTGGAGAATTGGAGAATCTTGGGGCAGTAGATGGGGCGGTGGGCACTGACGTTTAGAGTGTTGTCTCTAATGCTGCCGTACTGCCGTTCAAAAGAGGCCCTGTAGGGATGTTTGGGGGGAGAATCGGGAGAGAGTCAGAAAGAGAAGACTGTTGTTGTCCCTGACGTTGCCGTACCATCGCTCAAAAGAGGCCCTGCATTGCTGAGTGTGGGATAAACCGTGAAGAATTACGAAAAAGGAGAATCGCTTTATGAGATTAACATTCTGTACGCCGTTCATTGCTACTGTTGTGGAGAATTGGAGAATTGGAGGATTGGAGGGCAGCAGATGGGTGGCGAGCATTTACGTTGCGAGTGTTGTCTCTTATGCTGCCATACTGTCGCTCTTATGAAGGACTGGGGGATTGTGTGCGTGTTACGAGTGCAATCGAGTGAACGAAGACAGCAACGGTAACGCGCTTGCGAAAACGTGCCCCTCAAGCCTAATGCCAAGGACGAACCGTAGAGCCGGGTGCGCAATGGTTGTATTGGCGGGAGCAGTGCCGAGGCGAGTGTCGCGAGGTGGTAACAGACTACAGCTGAGTGTACAGTGGCGGGAACAGTCGTGTACGTGGTATGCAGTGTGACGCGGAGTAAAGAAAAGTTGTTTCCTTATAGTGTGCCATGAACAGGGAAGGACATAGGTGATTAAGTCACTGGAAGAAGACAAACTAAGCAAGGCCAGCATCAACGGATACATGTTGCTGTCCCTCCACCCCCTCTCTTCCCCCCTCTCGCTCACCTCTCCTCATCCCTGACAAAAACACAGGAGAGCGCCCCCTCAGTAATGGAGGCTGAATTCCGTTATCCCTTCCTACCTCCAAGCAACCATTCCCCACCAACCACCCCCCCCCTTCACCCTCCTCCCCCTCTCACCTCTCCTCGTCCCGGACAAAGACACAGGAGAGTGCCCCCGTGTTCCCCGGGCGAGCATAGGCAATGCGAGTAAGGTAAGCCTCCCACGTGCTGCCGTTCAAACACCTGTCCAGCTCCCACTTGCCCCTCCGCCCCGGCTTGCCCATCACTGATATGATGCCTGTGAGGGTCTGTGCATGGGAACATAAAGATAACAACATTAGGGCATTAATATTTGAGTAATTTATATGAAACGCTTTGTCGATGTCTCACTCTCCCGCCTGCCTCGGCATGGTCGATACCGAAAACAAGGCAAAAGAACTGAATGAGAGAAAAGGGAATCGACAACGATGACGACGACAGCGACAACCCCAACAGCGCCCGTAGGAGCAATCATAATGTCAAGGCAAGCAACGTCAACGACGATAAAGGCGGAGACAGCGACAATGAAAACGACAAGGCAACAACGACGACGACGACGACGACAACAGCAACAGCAACAGTAGCAGTAGCGGCAGCAGCAACGACGACGACGACAACCACCATCACAACAGCAACAGCAACAATGATAATAGCAGTATCAGCAGCAACGACGACGACGACGACGACAACAACAACCACCGCAAATAGCAGCACAGCACCAACGACAATACTTTGAAAGCGGGTAAGCGAGTAAACAAGAAGAATGAACGGATGCTAAATGAGGGCACCTCCTCTCACCAACCTTGCAAGTGCTGACACCCAACCCAAGAGTACCTGGTTCTGCCCCACACTGGTGAGCACGAGCTGCTGCAGCATGAGGACATGAGGAAATGAGGGCAGGAGAGCAGAGAGCAGCACTTATGCAGCAGGAGGTAAGGGAAGAATGCAGGCACCGCTCCAGTCTTACCTGGGTCTGCCCCACATTGGTCAGCACGAGCTGCTGCAGCATGAGGGCGCGCTCCTTGCACCACACGCCCAGCGCCTCCTCCCTGCGGCTCTCGTACTGCGAGTGCCGGTCCCACAGCAGCCATGCTGCTACGGCCAGCCCACACAGCACCCACGCCGTTACCAGCACTGTGAACCAGGGCGCTGGGAGGAGGATGAGAAGGAGGCGAGAGGGAGGGAATAGAGAGGGGGTAGAGATAGGGGGCAGCATGCGAGTGTTGGTCCCACAGCAGTCACGCTGCCACGGCCAGCACACACAGCACTCACGCCGTTACCAGCACTGTGAACCAAGGGGATGCAGGAGGGAGGGGAGACAGAGAGAGCGGATGGGGGATTCGAACCCCAATACTTCTAATTCTTTCCGAAGGAAGTGGATGGGGGATGGGCAGATGGGGAGAAAGCTTTGTGGGAGGAAGGCGGATGAGAAACACGGATGGGGGGGGGGGGGGGGCGGATGGGTGGCGGTGGATGTGGGGGAGGTAGATTGGATGAAGGCGGATGGAAAATTTGAGGGGCAACGAGATGATATTTGAGGCGCCTCACAAATCAAATCACCTCAAAATTTGAAGGGCATCGAAAGATGGTGAGAACACGGGGGGATAGTGGAATGCGGATTTGGGGAACGCGGATGGGGGATTGGCGGGAATGCGGATTTGGGAACGCGGATGGGGGATTGGCGGGCGAGAGGCTGATCGGGGCAGGAAGATGGGCGGCGGCGGATGGGGAGGGGGAAGGCGGATGTGGGGAAGAGGCAAGGGGAATTGGGGGGTAGGAGGATGTGTGGAATACAGATGAGGGGGAGGGATAGGGGAAAGGCGGATGCGGATGGGGATGGGAGAAAGGCAGGCGTGGGGGAAAGAAGGGGCGGGAGGGGGGGGGGGGAGGGGAGGGGGGGGATAAGCGGATGGGAGGAAGGGATCTGGGGAAGGAGGATGTAGGGCGAGCGGATCGGGGGACGGCGGAAGGGGGACGGCGGATGAGCGGGCCGCGGATGGCGGGAAATTGGACGACGGGAAGGTGAATGAGGAGAAGGCGGATTTGGGGAACGCGGATCGGAGAAGGGGGGTGGGATGAATGCGGATTGGGGCAGGCAAATGGATGATGGCGGATGGAAAGGGGGAAGCAGATTAGGTAAAGCGAGTGGAGACCGCCGAGTTGGCGGGGCAAGTCGGATGGGGGACGGAGCGGGGTGCGGGGTCGGCGGATGGGGGAACGGGGGGGCGGGTGGGGGAACGGGGGGGCGGGTTGGGGGACCGCGGGGCGGATGGGGGAACGGCGGGGCGGATGGGGGGACCGCGGGGCGGATGGGGGACGGCGGGGCGGTACTCGTCTTAGTGAGGCGGATCTGGGGAACGGCGGGGCGGATGGGTGAACGGCGGGGCGGATGGGGGACCGCGGGGCGGATGGGGAACGGCGGGGCGGATGGAGGGACCGCGGGGCGGATGGGGGGACCGCGGGCCGGATAGGGGACGACGGGGCGGACGGGGGGACGGCGGATGGGTACTCGTCTTAGTGAGGCGGATCTGGGGAACGGCGGGGAGGATAGGGGAACGGCCGCGGGGCAGGTGGGGGAACCGCGGGGCGGGTGGGGGGACGGCGCGGGGCGGGTGGGGGAACGGCGGGGCGGATGGCAGGACGGCGGGTGGATGGGGGGACGGCAAATCGCCGCCTTAGAAAGGCGGAGGAGGGGACAAAGAGAGTGGTAAAAGACGTGCGTGGGGACGACGTGGGCAGAGAGAAGCGGCGCGAGAAGTGGGGTCGGGGGAAACGGGGCTGGGGAAAGACCTGCGCAGCGGGCCGCGCTTAGCGCGATCGCCGCGTGGCATTCCGCGGCGTGTAGTACGCGGCGGAATTTGTCCTCACTCTCACCCTGGAATAGCACGGCGGCGGAGCAAATTACACGACCTCCCTTTTTCCTATCATCATCCTCTTGCTCCCTTTTATTCCGAGCCTGCTTCGCATTGCGTGTCGTCTGCCTGTTCCAACCGCCTCTGACTCGGGTTTCCGCCATAGCTGCCGCCGCCACAGTTATCCGCCGCCAATTATTCTAATTCTGAGGCGTTTAAAAAAACACCCGCCAAAAATAATAACTTAACTATTTACAGCCTTCCCCGCGTCGAGTTTCCGCCATGACTGACGCGGCCCGCCAATTATTCCAATTTTTAGACGCCTCAAAAAGTATTCGCCAGTTATTACAAATTTACATGATTTACATGTACTATCAGCTTCCTCGTGCCCTGGCGCGGGTTTTGGCCGACGGCTGAAAATGGTCGCCTTTTTTTAGATTTCTAGAACCGAACGTAGTGATTTTAGTATGGCAAATGTAGGGATGACGAGCAAATAATGGTTCATTTCGAATCCCAAGCTACTGACTCGTGCGAACCGAACTGCTCATCTGGAAATTGTGTCGAATTGAAAGGGACTGGGCGGGCGAGGGGGAGGGAAGCCTGGGAGCGGGAGGTCGAATTCGAAGGTTTGGCGTTTGTCACCCTGAATGGAGCAGAGTTCAAATGAGATGTTTCCTAAATTATCAAGGTACAGTAGAACCTGAATTACGCCTTACGATCTCAGGCTTCTCCTTAGGACGCACAGGATTTCAGCACACAGACGAAAATATGAAAGCAATAGCGATTGCGACTGCGATAGGCAACAACTTTCAGTTTCCAACATATTGGAAAACAAGCCCTCTATGAAATGCTTGGTAGCGACTGTTCTACGGGGTAGTCAAAGGCTCCACCATTCGGTCATACGTACACCCTCTTTCTCGCCATTTGTGAATTCGGTTATCATGAAGTCAAGATGGGAAAAGCACGGTTCACGGTGGTTGATTTATTTTTCAGTATGGTTCAATTAGGCAAATCGAAGATAACAAGGTTTTGCACCTGTTCGGCACAGTTCAGTGTAGCGAGAAACAGGGTGTATTGCAGTCACAGAACACGAACTGTTAGGAGAAATGCAGGGGCGTTTGATAAGCCAAATGTGTACGTGTACATTCAATACAGACCAGTTTTCGGGTTTAGATGCATGCAGTGTGTCGCGTGTACACAAGTGAATTTCGCAGTACACCCCTTAAACGCGCCCCCTGGGGGTACATACCCGGGGTACAGACTTTCTCGGAGGGTAGTTGACTGCGAATGTTGAAGAGCTGGTGAGCGTTCCGAAACCCAGTCGCGAATAGACGATAGCATTAAAAACTTCAGTCACGCAACCTCAACCCCATCCTCACTCGGAACACATGTTGTAGTTTCAAGAAAAACTGCATCTCGCTGTCGACTGATAGTCCCTGAGTTTCAGTGTGTCCGTCGTATCGAGCCAGAATCGGTATTGGGCACCTTAAAAAAAGGGGGTACGGGTGTGCAATTATCGAGAATAATTCACACGCGTGAACTGACGTGGTGTGGACAAGAATGGTCGCCCGAAAGTCGCTGAAAGGACGAACACCTCCAGCAATCGTGTCGTGCGCGTGCAACTTTCAAATTTCACTACTACCCATGGATACATGCTCAATTCTGGATTCATCATTCACTAGGGCCCAGTTCGGCAGGCATTAAAAAAACGGTTTCCCCGGATGGGCTACAGTAAACCGACCACCCTGGAACCTTTTTTTATAAGCGCCTGAAAGGTTATCTAGGCTCGATATAAGCGGATCATCACCGAACCAGACAATACACCGAGTCCTCGGCAATTTCACGCCCCCACCGAGGGGGTCAATCTTGTCTGTAGTGGCGGGGGGGTGAAATTGGCCATAACATTTATGTAGGGGAGTCTGCAGGGGACGCCCCCGCGCAGCACCCAACCCCACCGACCCACGTAACGACAAGGGGGGGGGTGAAATTGGCCCTAGTGAAGTTGGCGAGGACTCGGTGTAATGGAATGCCAGCCGAACACCCCTTTTGACGCTGGCATTTTCTACCAGAGGAATCTTCCTCGAACTCTATTTCCCAGGCAAATGGTCCATTTTCTGATACGCCGCACCATGCGGTCTCGAGAGCCCGCACCACACGGGGTATCAGTGATTCGGGGCAATCACACATTGCCCTGAGAAAAACAAATCCCGGTCTTTCATGCCCCTCTTCTTGCCCGCTGGAAAATCACACATCACCAACACACCATCACTAACACATCGAACGCACAGATTCTCTTCCCCGAATTTTTTCGACGTCCACCACTGGTTTGCAGGGCTGCCCGGGCTGCCAGTACAGTGATTCTGGGCTCCATCAGCGCAGCTGCATGCGAGCTTCTGCGAAGTGTCATTTTGGGTTGATGCCATTAATCCAGGCCCATTTAAAACCCGCAGCCTGAATTACAAGAAAAGTTGGGAGGTGTTAACACCTCACCTTCCGGACCAACACCAGGCCTCCCGAACCAGGGTGGTTACCAGGTCTCCACCTGGAAAACGTGAAAGAAGTCGCAGGCAGGATAGTGAAGGGTCGCTCGGTTCCCGCGCAACCATTCTAGCTGTGGTGTGCACACCAAACTGTGTCTTGTAATTCAGGTCGACAGAAAATGCCTAGTCTGAGCAGCTAGAGCGACAGCCATAGCTTAAAATTTCCAGGCTTCCAAGCAAATCCAGCGCATGTCTGAAAATTCCGCCATAGGGCTTTAGGACCGTGCGGATATTCTTGCAATCCGTCGCTTATGCCAAACGCGGGCCTAGTTCACGTTACCACGTTTCCCTACGGTGTTCTAGCTAAAGCAGTCGCGGATGATGACTCCATCCCGTCGCCCACGGGCACTCCCCGAGAACGAGCACGCACACTCGGTCCCGTCACCCTCGCGCACTCCATTCCGCTGCCCACGCTCAAGACCTTCCCGTCGCCCACGCTCACTCCCTTTCCATCGCGATCGCGCAATCGTACCGTCGCCCACGATCAGTCACTTCCGTCGCCCACGCTCACTCCATCCAGTTGCCCACGCTCACTCCCATTCCATCGCCAACGCGCAATCCTTCGATCGCACACGCGAACCCTCGCGCGTCGCACACGGCCTGTTCCCTCCTGTCGCAAACCGCCTCACCCATCGCCGCCTCACCCATCGCCGCCTCACCCATCTCCCTTTCACGCATCGCCGCCTCACCCATCTCCGCCTCACCCATCTCCGCCTCACCCATCTCCGCCTCACCCATCTCCGCCTCACCCATCTCCTCTCCCCCCCCATCGCGACAACTCCCCTTCCGCCGCCCACGCTCTCTCCCTCCCGCCTCGTTTCCGCACTACCCTCCTGTCGTGACGGTCCGCTCCGTCGCACACGCTCAATCCCCACCAGGGGAGACCATTACTTGCCCCCCTCGCTCGGCCACGCGAGACCCCTCCGTCGCACACGCTCATTCCCTTATTCGCCCACGTTCACTCCCCTCCGTCGCCCACACTCACTCTCTCCCGTCACCCACGCTCACTCCGACGGGAAGCACGCTCATTCCCCTCCCGTCGCCTTCGCTCACTCCCCTTCCCCCGCCCACGCTCGCTCCCTCCCGTCGCGTTCGGCCCCATCCGTCGCCCACGCTCATCTCCCTGCCGTCACACACGCACGCACCCTCCCCTCGACCGAGAAGGCATTCCTCGCTCCCGTCGCATACGCGTTCATCTCCCCATCCCTCATCTCCCCGTCCCTCATCTCCCCATCCCTCATCTCCCCGTCCCTCATCTCCCCATCCCTCATCTCCCCGTCCCTCATCTCCCCATCCCTCATCTCCCCGTCCCTCATCTCCCCATCACTAATCTCCCCATCCCTCGTCTCCCCATCCCTCTCCTCCCCATCCCTCATATCTAATACCTCACCTCCCCATCCCCGCCTCCCACTCCCTTCCCTCCCCATCCCACACCTCCCCATCCCCGCCTCCCACTCCCTTCCCTCCCCATCCCACACCTCCCCATCCCCGCCTCCCACTCCCTTCCCTCCCCATCCCACACCTCCCCATCCCCGCCTCCCACTCCCTTCCCTCCCCATCCCACACCTCCCCATCCCCGCCTCCCCATCCCTTCCCTCCCCATCCCACAACTCCCAGTCTCTCATCTTACCGTCGCTCATCTCCCCATCCCTCATCCTCCCATCCCTCATCTCCCCATCCCTCGTCTCCCCATCCCTCATCTCCCCGTCCCTCCCGTCCCTTTCCACTCGCCCCGCCACTCCCGCCGTGCTTCTCCCTCACCCCATTCCGCCCCATCCCATTCCGCCCCACCCCATTCCGCTCCACCCCATTCCGCTCCACCCCATTCCTCTCCCTATCCGTCCTCTCCCTATCCGTCCTCTCCCTATCCATCCTCTCCCCATCCGTCCTCTCCCTATCCATCCTCTCCCCATCCGTCCTCTCCCCATCTGATCGTCTCCCCATCCGTCCTTCCCCCATCCGATCCTCTCCCCCTCCCCTCCAGGTGTTTCCCACGCTGTCCTCGGCCTTGCGTCCACCGGGGAGCTGCTAGGGGCGCTGTGGGCGGATGGCGGCGGGCCATCTCCTCCTCACCCCATCTCCTCCTCACCCCATCTCCTCCTCACCCCATCTCCTCCTCACCCCATCTCCTCCTCACCCCATCTCCTCCACACCCCATCTCCTCCTCACCCCATCTCCTCCTCACCCCATCTCCTCCTCACCCCATCTCCTCCACACCCCATCTCCTCCTCACCCCATCTCCTCCTCACCCCATCTCCTCCTCACCCCATCTCCTCCACACCCCATCTCCTCCTCACCCAATCTCCTCCTCACCCCATCTCCTCCTCACCCCATCTCCTCCTCACCCCATCTCCTCCTCACCCCATCTCCTCCTCACCCCATCTCCTCCTCACCCCATCTCCTCCTCACCCCATCTCCTCCACACCCCATCTCCGCCCCAACCCACTCCCCATTCCACCAACTCCGCCCCACCCCATCTCCTCCACACCCCATCCTTCCTCCCTTCCTCCCTTTCTCTATTTTCCCATTCCTCCCTTCATCATTTCTCAGTTGTCATTCTTTTGCATGCTTGCTTCCCTTCTACTTCTGCCACGTCACATCTGACTTCCTGGTTTGTGTTTGCAGGTGTCTTCTCTGCATCTGGTTGGGATGTGTTGGCTGCTTGATATCTCACGACGTATAGACATGCCATGTATTGGATAGTTTCGTATGATACGGCATTATGAGCTTCAGAGCAGTCATACACATGACCACTAACTAGGGGTCCAACAAATAATATACTAGTACTATTTGTACCGTACAAGGGGAATCACTCAATTTTATAAAAGAACAAATCTGGTGCTGGGCACCTGTACCCTGCATTGGGGGAGGGGGGGGTGAGTGAAGGGGAAAAGACAGTAAAAGGAGTGAGCAGAAGGGAAGAGAAGAAGCAGCGGGGGACAGAGTGAGAAGGGGGGAAGAGAGGAAGCAGTGGGAAACAGAGTGAGCAGAAGTGAAGAGAGGGAGCAAGGGGGAAGAGAGTGAGAAGAGAAGGGGGTTGGGGAGCAGTGGTGAAACAGAGCGAGAAAGGGTGAAACAGAGTGAGCAAGGGTGAAACAGAGTGAGCAAGGGTGAAACAGAGTGAGCAAACCTTAACAAAGTGAGGAGGGGGGAAGAGAGTGAGCTGGTGGGAAGATAGTGAGCAGGTGGAAAGAGAGTGAGTAGTGGGGGATATAGTGAGCAGGGTGGACAAAGAGGAGGGGGAAGAGTGTGAGAAGGGCGAAAAAGAGTGTGCAAGGGGAAACAGATGGAGCAAGGGGAAACAGATGGAGCAAGGGGAGGGGAAACGAGGGCGACGGACGCGGGAAAGTGAAGTCAACGGGAGTGGAAAAACGAGGTTGACGGGAGGGGGAAAGAGAGGTCGACAGCAGGGAAGGGGTTGGGGGGAAGCAGGGAAGGGGATGGGGGGAAGCGGGGATGGGGATGGGGGGAAGCAGGGAAGGGGATGGGGGGAAGCAGGGAAGGGGTTGGGGGGATGCAGGGAAGGGGATGGGGGGAAGCAGGGAAGGAGATGGGGGGAAGCAGGGAAGGGGATGGGGGGAAGCAGGGAAGGGGATGGGGGGAAGCAGGGAAGGGGATGGGGAGAAGCAGGGAAGGGGATGGGGGGAAGCAGGGAAGGGGATGGGGGGAAGCAGGGAAGGGGTTGGGGGGATGCAGGGAAGGGGATGGGGGGAAGCAGGGAAGGGGATGGGGGGAAGCAGGGAAGGGGATGGGGGGAAACAGGGAAGGGGATGGGGGGAAGCAGGGAAGGGGATGGGGGGAAGCAGGGAAGGGGATGGGGGGAAGCAGGGAAGGGGATGGGGGAAGCAGGGAAGGGGATGGGGGGAAACAGGGAAGGGGATGGGGGGAAGCAGGGAAGGGGATGGGGGGAAACAGGGAAGGGGATGGGGGGAAGCAGGGAAGGGGTTGGGGGAAAGCAGGGAAGGGGATGGGGGGAGGCAGGGGAGGGGGCGGGGGGAAGCAGGAAAGGGGATGGGGGAAAGCAGGGACGGGGATGGGGGGAGGCAGGGGAGTGGACGGGGGGGAGCAGGGAAAGGGATGGGGGGAAGCAAGTCAGAGAATGGGGGGAAGCAGCGCAGGGGATACGGCGAAACAGGGAAGAAGATGGGGGGAAGCATTGCAGGGGATACGGGGAAACAGGGAAGAGGACGTGGGGAGCGGGAGAGATGCCGGGGAGAGAGCTGGGGGGAGGACGGTGGGGAGCAGGGCAATTGATGGGGGGAAGAGGGAGAGAGGTAAGCAGTGTGGGGGTGAAAGGCGATTATTGGGGAGAGGGAAGGGTGTATGTGCGGGTTGGAAAGGGGGGGTGACAAGTGTGCGAGATGAGAAGGGAGAAGGGAGGGATGGCGAGGGCAACGAGGAGTGGATGGGAGGGCGGCGGGGAAACCGAGGGCGACGGGGGAGAGAGATAGACGGGGATTGCGAGGGGACTCGCGGGAGGGAGGGCGACGAGCGGCAGGGAGGGCGACGAGCGGCAGGGAGGGCGACGAGACGAAGGGGGGCAACGGGCGGAAGGGAGCGCGACGAGGGGAAGGAAGGGCGGAGGGCGGAAGGGAAGGCAACGGGAGGACGGGAGGGCGACGAGAAGAAGGGAGGGCGACGGGCGGAAGGGAGCGCGACGAGGGGAAGGAAGGACGGCGGGCGGAAGGGCGGGTGACGGGCGGATGCGAGGGCGACGGGCGGAAGCGAGGGCGGCGGGCGGGGAAGCGGCGAGGGGGACGGGCTTCCGCGAGGGTGGTAGGCGGGGAAAGCGAGAGCGACTGGCGGGGGAAGCGAGAGCGATGGGCGAGGGAAGCGAGGTCGACGGTCGGCTAGGCGGCGAGGGCGTCGGCCGATGGGCGAGGGTCGCGAGGTGGGCAAAGCGCTAATTTCTCATCTCCTCACGCCTATTCTCCGTGCTTCGATTGCGTGGCCACGCTGCACCTAGGGATTCCGGTTGTCTGAAATGTGTTCGCTATAACACCCTAATGTAAGAATCTTCGCGCAATGTAGCTACTGAATTTGTGTGCTGCCGCTTGGAGGAAACTAAGATTCGATCATTTTGTGTCTAAGTTAGTAGCTAGTAATGGTGTGCTGGTTTTTTGTCGACAGAAGTCCTGAAGGTGACATCCCTTCCCCATTGTATTGGTTTCTGTCGCCCAGATTCAATGTTGCGACACTTGTGTGTTCGCAAATTGGTTTCGCCACCCGAAAGTGTCACCCAACCGTCCGCACCTCTCCCCAACCTCTTCCCAAACCAATCGTTGACTCGTTTTTGTAATTCAGGCTGCGGGTTTTAATGCCAACCGAACAGTCGGGCCCATTCTTCCGAAGTTAACCTGCAGCTACAGTCTGACTTCGCAGCTGTTTCGAGGGGCCATTTTTTGGGGGCCCGTTAAAAATGCCCAGAATGGCCATAATGGCCATAATGCCTGCCGAACCGGGCCTAGAAGCGAAACCCTCGGCTAGTGTTGAGCGTGTAGCACAAACCTACACGCTAGCAAAATCTTCCCGGTGGTGTAGAAAGTTGTTTTCTCTTGACCGTTGAGAGACTACCCCGAGTCCCGACTTGCAACGACAAGCCACAAGCAGGAAGCGAAACAACCAAGCAAGCGAAGCCAGCCAAGAGCAGTCCAACCACACAAACCGCCGCCCAACCGCCCTTCTGCTGCAATCCATGCGCTGGACTGGAAGTTTGCAACACCAGCTCTGCGGTGGTGGAGAGGCGGACTGCCCCCTGCCCTGACCTCGTGAGAATCCAGGGCTGGAATTCCAGGTCTGGAATGCAGCTGAAGAAGCCACTCTCAAACGCATTGTAACTCTTTGTAACGCCACGAAATTTGTTAGCGGGCAATCCGTCTCCTGCAACACCCTGCCCAGCCTAGCCTGCCCTAGCCTACCCTCCTGAAATATTCGACAGCCAATCCGAGGGCGCAGAGCGCTAGCTCTGCAGGTTATCTAGGACTAGGGTTTCCCTACCACCTCATTCTAGAAGCTAGTCGTAGCTTTCTAGGCTAGACTGACCTAGGAGTTACCGATTTCCCTCCCTCCCTCCGCTTCCGCTGCGTGGATCCTTTCAGCACCTACGTTTGTGACGTAAGCTTTTGTAGCAACTCCTTTCTCTGGCTAATCTCCTGAGTGATTGTTTAGATTATCCTTCATCGTCATTTTCTGGCCTTTTCACCTTCTTTATCCATTTCGCCAGGCGAAACGTTTAAGGCTAAATTCTTCTCGTCCGCTTATATATCCTTACCCGTTACGCGGGTTCCCGTCGTTTCTTACTTCAACTCCTTTTGTCATAATTCCGTCACCTGTCCTTCCGTTCCTTAGCTGCGTGCTTTCGAAAGTGCCGTGAAATATGTCTGGAGTTGACTCAAAACACGCCTTTAATTTGCGAATCCACTATAATGTGCCGCATCTCGTCCTCGCGAGTCGCCGCGCCGTGCTGACTCTGGCTGCGCGACGCGTCGAACGTTTGTTAGGAATTTCGCATCGACCACACCATGTTGTGTGTAACTATCCCATCCATTCCCCGCTCGTTTCATCTTAGCTAATATTGGTGTTCTTTCTCCCGTTTATTTCAGGTTGCAACGGCGTTCTGGATATGAAGGTCTAATAGGTCGTTCGTTCACACGCCGCTCCTGTTTGCCGGACAAGCATGATCGCCGATCTTTGAAAGTAAAGACGGTCGTTTTGCACAACAGCCCTTCAAGGAAAGGCCAAGAATACAGCTAGCGAATTTCGTTTTGCATTAATCAAAATAAGGAGGTTGTGAGTGGTGTGTTTGCGACCGGCGGTTTCGTGAGTGGTGGGGTAACCATCCATGGCGACTGCAGCAGATGGCGAACCTATCTCCCCTCTTCCTCCTCCAGCTCCCCCTGGCGGTCCGACTCAATCGCAGCAGCCAAATCAGCAACAACTATCTCAGCCAAAGCTGGAGCTGTTACAGCAACAGCAGCCGCTACAGCCGCAGCAGCCGCTACAGTCACAACAGCAGCTACAGCAGCTCCAACAGCCGCTCACTCCCGTTATAGTCCCGTTGCCCATGGGGACTCAGCCGCAGCAGCAGCAACAATTGCAGAACTCCCAGCAGCAGCAACAGGTTCAGCAACAGCAACAGCTGTCAGGTCAGCAGCAAGTAGTGACTCTCCCAGTCATCCAACCCCTCGGCCCCGCCATTTTCCGCGAGGGCAATTCGTGCATGGAGTGCGGAAACGCGTCCAAGCGCGACTGCCCGTACCGCCGCTGCCGCACGTGCTGCAAGGCGCGCGGATTCAACTGCGCGACGCACGTGCGCAGCACGTGGGTCCCCGCGGCGGAGCGGAGAAAGCGCGAGCAGATGGAGTCCGCCGCGCGGGCCATGGCGGCGACGATGCGGCCTGTACCGCCGCGGACGAAGCGGGCGCGAGGCAGCGGATCACAGTCGCCCGTGGCGGGACCCATACCCATGCCCGTGCCGTATTCTGCTACCGCTGCTACCGCTGGTGCTGCTACTGCTGCTGTCGCTGCTGCGATGGGGCCTGCTGCGGTGGCGCCTGCTGGTGCTCTCGGGGCGTTGGGAAGCTCAAGTTTTTTGCCAGCCAGTGGGATGTCGACACCTGTCATGGCCCAGTCGCCTGCGCGAGGGCCAGTGGCGTCTGTGGTGGTGCCTATACCCCAGGCGCAGGTGCCGGCTCAGGTGCCTGGTCAGTTGTCGATTCAGTTGCCCGGTCAGGGGCACGTGCAGCCGCATTCGCAGCAGCAGCAGCAGCCGCAAACAGCAGGAGCGTTGCCGCTGCTAGGTGCGCAGACGGGTATGCAGGCTCATGGTCAAGGGCAAGGGCAAGGCCAGTCACAGCAATTGCTGCTGGTTCCGTCTCAGTACCAGCAGCAGGTGGGGGTGCCGCCAGCTCAGGCTCCTGTACAGCAGCAGCAGCAGCAGCAGCAGCAGCAGCAACGACAAGTTCAGTCGCAGCAGCAGGTTTTGCAGCCATCTTTGCAGCCACCAACGCAGCAGCAGCAGCAACAGCAGGTGGCACAGCAGCAGACTCTGCAGCAGCCATCGTTGCTGGCTCTTCCAGAAACACCTGCGCAGCAGACTCAAGGTGAGATAGTTGTTTGATTGGGCCTTATTTATTTCTACAATTGCGTTGCTCTTACCTTATGTACGATGAAGAATCAAATATGTCTTGGGACACTATTCACTTGACCCCGTCCCACCCCTCACAACTCGTCTGCCCCACGCCAGCGGAGGTGGTGGCTCAGACCGTCCTCAGGAGCGTGCTGCTCAGCACGCTCTCAGTCAACCCCTCCTCACCGCTCTCAACCCCTCTCTCCCACACCAGCACTCCCAGCAGAAGTGGTGGCTCAGACCCTCCTCAGGAGCGTGCGGGTGACAGGCATCGTGGACAGGCACTTCGAGTTTGGCTACCACGCCTGTGTCAAGACCGGCTTCTCACATGCGCATCATTCCGCAATCTCACTCAACCCCCCCTCACCGTTCTCAACCCCCCTCTCTCCCTCGCACCAGCACTCCCAGCAGAGGTGGTGGCTCAGACCCTCTTGAGAAGCGTGCGGGTGACAGGCATCGTGGACGGGCACTTCGAGTTTGGCTACCATGCCTGTGTGAAGATCGGCGGGCACATCTTTAAAGGGGTGCTCTATAACGCGGGCATAGACCCCAACCCGTCCCAGCCCCTGCCTGGTTGCTCTGGGTCTATGGCTGCTGGTGTGGCGGGAACTACAGCCATTAATGTTGCTGCTACTGCTGCCACTGCTCCTGCTGCTGAGCCTGGTGCTGCTTCTGCTGTGCCGGTGGCTTCAACTGCCTGCGTGGCGGCGTCGTCAAGCGGTGTTGATGCTGCTGCTGCCACTACTCCTGCCGGGTTCTATCCGGCTGCAGCTGGGGTTGCTCCTGCCGGCACTGCTGCCACTATTGGGGGTACCACCACCTCGGCTAGGACTGGTACTGCTGCTGGTACTGGTACTGCTGTGGTTGGTGCTGCCATTGGTGCTGGCGCCAATGCCACCTATCCCTCTGGTTCCGGCCCGCCGTCTGCATCAGGGGGGTTGCTACTCGGCACTGTAGCGCCCTCCACTCCCCAACGTGCTGCCGCCCCAACCCCTTCCCTCGCCACTCCTCTCTCCATCCCCCCCGTGTCAGCATCAGCCGCCGCAGCAGCTGCTGCTGCCACATCGGGCACTCTACCTCTTTCTGCTGCTGCCTCTCCTTCCTTAGTCGCTAAAACAGGCTCGCCGTTACAAGTCCCCAGGCTAGGCTCGACCTTACTAGTCCCGAGGTTAGGCTCAGTAGGGAGTTCCGGAGCTACGGCAGGGAGCTTCGGGGCTTCACCAGGGCAGCCTGTGGGAAGGTCTGGGGGGGGAGGTTTGGCAACAATTTCCCATCCACTCTCTCCTGTATCTCACTTCTCCCCGTTGACCTTTGTTCAGTCTGTTTTAAGCTCGGCTGCTGCTGCCACCTCTGCAGAAGCTGCCGCAGGTGTGGCGGCAGCAATAGAGGCAGCAAAAGGGGTAGCAGCAGGAGGAGGGGCAGGAGGAGTTGCAGGATTAGCAGGGGCAGCAGGAGGGGAAGGAGCAACAGCAGAAGGAGCAGCAGCACATACTCTCTCAGCCGCTCCTCAGCCCACCACCTCCTCCTCCCCTATTGTCATTTCCGTCCCTATCCCCGACTTCTCCTCGTCCCCTTTGTTGCAAATCCCTAAAAAAATCCTCTCTCGGGGACCTGTCCAGGTTCAGAGTACCTCTCAAACTCCACCCCAAGTGAGTGTCGAGATTCCAAGCACTTACCTTGCCTCTGTGCTAGGGGCAGCAGGAAGCAAGCAGAAACAACAGCAGCCGCAGCAGCTGCAGCAGCAGCAGCAGCAGCAGCAGCAAGAGCAACGGAATGCAGGTCAGCAACACCAACTCGTCCTACCCAGCGTAGGGAGTGTGGCTGGGAATGCGCAGCAAGAGCTGAAACCACTCGTGCCGGCAGAGGTTATGACACATGTGGAGCCACAAGAACAGCAACAGAAAGAGCAGCAGCAGCAGCAACAACAGCAGTCAATGTTGTCTCCCACAGCAGGTAGTACAAAAGTGATGTCTGATGTTGAAGCTGCTACCGACGCTGCGGCTGTAGCCACTGCTGCAGGCACTGGTGCTACAGGCTCTGCTACAGGCGTTGGTGATGCAACAAATGAGTTGTCATCATCAGGGCTCATGCCTGCTGCTGCTGCTGCTGGTTCTGCTGTGCCTGCTGGTGCTGCTGCTGTTGCTGCTGCTGGTGCTATTTCTGGTGCTGTTTCTGGTGCTGTTGCTGTAGCTAATGCTACTGATACTGGGACTGCTGTTGAGATTGCAGCTGATGCAATCCTGACCGGGCCTAATGCTGGAACTGAAGCTGCTCTTGGTGAGGATAGTCTGTGCGAGGCTGGAACTGCTGGTTCCACCGGCCAAGCAACTGATGAGCTTGCTGTGATGTGAATGCGGGACGGCGATAGGGAGTGCTAGGATTTTATATATTTCCACCCAACTTTCTTGGTGAGTATGGTATGAGTCAGGCAGGCTGGAACTGCTGGTTCCTATGGCTGGCTCTGCTGGTTTCTGAAAGGGTGACTTTTCTTCTACCGTGCTTGTTTTGTTTCGTTTCTGAGTTGCATGGACCATGGTATGTATTATAAGTGTTTTGTATTTCTTTTTCAGACATGCACAAAGCCAAGCATGTTTTTACCAATGCAATTAGTTGGTACAGTAAAACTTCAATTCGGCTTTATTGTACCCAACGGTCATATGTCAGAGTTCCCGCGCTCCCAGATTCTGGTTTTAGCCTGCCATCATCATCACTGGATCATACTCGATAATACCGAATGGTATCCTGGTTTTGAGCAGAATTCTCAGCGGACTCCGCTGCTATTGCGGCGCTGCTGTCCCTCGCATTCCCCTCGTAGCTCGAAAATATAAGCTGCGAATCCCCTTGTGAATCAGCCTTGGTTCGTCTATTTCGCATGCTAGTGTCGCCTTTCGTGTTCCCCAATCGTCCACATGTCGATCGCCCATACGCTTAGTGGCGTCGTCGCCACGTCAGCCGCGGCTTCACGTGTTAACTACTTCGGCACCAAGCGGAATGCTGGGCGATTTCAGTTCTCGAAGCAGCGTGTATCGCGTATTTCACGCCGCTTCCATCTGCTGCCATGCGCCTCAGAAGGCGAGCGATCCGCGGTAGAGACGATCACACGAGAGGGAGAGAGACTGGGAGCCGACGAGCCAGGAGGTGATAGTAACGGAGGTGATCTTAGTGGGTCGATTCCAGCAACGAAGGGCGCCGCCAGCGAAACAACCACTTCTTACGTCTCCGCATCCCCATTCTCTCCCCAGGTAAGTTTTGAACCGGATTGTAAATACGACTCATCAGTCGCGCACTCCTCTCCATTTACCCCTATTCTACATTTTCCCCTTGTCCAAAAAGTTCCACTGCCCAGTCGTCACTTCCCCGTTCTGTATGTGTTTCTCAGTGGTCAGTGTTTCCCGGGTCACTGTATTCTTCCCAGTATTTGTCACTCCGCGCTCTGGCAGCAGCGGCTGCATCGTTGGAGAGCGAATTCGCGGAGGTGGACAAGCTGTTGGGGGTGAATCTGGGGGAAAAAGACAGGCCTCCCCACTCCCACTTCCACCGCCCACTCATCTCCTCCCGTTTCACGCCCTCACCACACCTCATTGGAGTATAATCCCATCCTCTCCCCTCCCCCAGGTGGCAGCAGCGGCAGCTTCCCTGGAAGGCGAATTCGCGGAGGTGGACAGGCTCGTGGCGGTGAACTTGAAGCGCGTTCTCGATGCCTTCGCCTCTGCACGCGTGGGGCGACATGTGAGTATGCGTGTGTGTGTGCCTTGCTGCTGCACGCATTGCCAGGCATGTGAATATGCATGTGTGCATGCCTTGTTGCTGTGGGACAAGGGGGGAAAGGTGAGAGGTACGTCAGCTGTTGGTGGTAAACCTGAAGCGAATTCTCGACTAGATGCCTTCCTCTCAGCATTTTAGTGGCTCTAAGGGATACACTCACAGGAACACAGTAATCAGAGCAGAGAGCCGCTTTACTCCAAGTCCTTCCCCGTTCCTGGCTTCCCTTCTGCAGGGTGTTTTTGAGAATTCTCAAAAACACCCTGCAGCACCTAAGGGATACACTCACGGGAACACAGTAACTAGAGCAGAGAGCAGCTTTACTCCAAGTCCTTCCCCGTTCCTGGCTTCCCTTCTCCCTTCTCCCTTCCCCCTCACTTTTAATTTTTCAACTGCCCCGCGTCCCCCTTTCACCCTGCATCAGCATTTCAGTGGAACGACAGGGTACGGTCACGGGGACGCAGGAGGCAGAGAGGCGCTTGATTCGGCCTTTGCTCAAATCGTTGGGGCAGAGGCAGCGTGTGTGCGTGCACAGGTAGAAAGGGGGAGGAAGAAAATAAAAAGGGAGGGTGGGGGTGTGGTGCAGGTAGGTAGTACTTGCACATATAGTGTTGGTGTAGGCCGTACTTTATGCTTCCCCGATTGACATCTTCAGACCCCTCGCTTTCCCATCATAGTTAATTCTCAGACATGCACGCCATCGCTGCTGCCTTCCATGGTTGCACGCCATCGCTGCTGCCTTCCATGGTTGCACGCCATCGCTGCTGCCTTCCATGGTTGCACGCCATCGCTGCTGCCTTCCATGGCTGCACGCCATCGCTGCTGCCTTCCATGGTTGCACGCCATCGCTGCTGCCTTCCATGGTTGCACGCCATCGCTGCTGCCTTCCATGGTTGCACGCCATCGCTGCTGCCTTCCATGGTTGCACGCCATTGTTGCTGCCTTCCATGGTTGCACACCATCGCTGCTGCCTTCCATGGTTGCACGCCATCGCTGCTGCCTTCCATGGTTGCACGCCATCGCTGCTGCCTTCCATGGTTGCATGCCATCGCTGCTGCCTTCCATGGTTGCACGCCATCGTTGCTGCCTTCCATGGTTGCACGCCATCGCTGCTGCCTTCCATGGTTGCACGCCGTCGCTGCTGCCTTCCATGGTTGCACGCCATCGCTGCTGCCTTCCATGGTTGCACGCCATCGCTGCTGCCTTCCATGGTTGCACGCCATCGCTGCTGCCTTCCATGGTTGCACGCCATCGCTGCTGCCTTCCATGGTTGCACGCCATCGCTGCTGCCTTCCATGGTTGCACGCCATCGCTGCTGCCTTCCATCTTTGCACGCCAAATCCCTCCCGTTTCCTGCTTTCCTCGTTTTCCCCTCTTCGCCCCTTCCCCTCTTCAACCCTCCCTCCCTCCGGTTTTTCTCAGGCACACACGCCATTGCTGCTGCCCTCCATGGTTTCACGGCAAATCCCTCTCGTTTCCCCTCTTCGCCACTGCCCTCCTTCTTCCCTTCCTCCCTCCCTCCAGTTCTTCTCAGGCACACACGCCATTGCTGCTGCCCTCCATGGTTTCACGGGAAATCCCTCTCGTTTCCCCTCTTCGCCACTGCCCTCCTTCTTCCCTTCCTCCCTCTCTCCAGTTCTTCTCAGGCACACACGCCATTGCTGCTGCCCTCCATGGTTTCACGGCAAATCCCTCTCGTTTCCCCTCTTCGCCACTGCCCTCCTTCTTCCCTTCCTCCCTCCCTCCAGTTCTTCTCAGGCACACACGCCATTGCTCCTGCCCTCCATGGTTTCACGGCAAATCCCTCTCGTTTCCCCTCTTCGCCACTGCCCTCCTTCTTCCCTTCCTCCCGCCCTCCAGTTCTTCTCAGGCACACACGCCATCGCTGCTGCCCTCTATGCCGTTCTGCGCCCTGGGGACGAGGTGAGTGGCATTCTCTGGCATCTAGTGCGGTGGCATTCTCCGGCATCCAGTGCGTTGGCATATTCCGGCATTTATTGTGGTCTTTGGAATGCTGCCTCCCCTCGCAACCCATCGCCGTGCACACTCTCTCCTCCTCACTCCCGCTCGCGTGTGATGAGTCTAAAGTTTTGTTTTAGTCGACTCAACAGTAGACTCATCACAGGCCTTTGCCGGCCTTGATTTTGGTCTTTCCAATGCTTCCTCTCATCGCAACCGTTCGCCCCGCACACTCTCTCCTCCTCACTCCCGCTCGCCCCTCCTGCTCTTCCTCGCCACACCACTTGATCCCTCTTTCACCAACTCCCCGGCCCCCTCCCCCCCCACCGCCACCTCTCATCTCGTCCTCGCAGCTGCTGTTAGTGGCAGGGGCGCCATACGATACGTGGAGGAGGCGATTGGGCTCCGAGGCACAACCCCCACCTTTATGTCTCTCCCTCTAATCCGTTCTCACCTCCCAACCCCCCCTCCCCCCCTCTTATCCCCACCTCAGCTGCTGTCAGTGGCAGGGGCGCCATACGATACGTGGAGGAGGCGATTGGGCTCCGAGGCACAACCCCCACCTCTATGTCTCTCCCTCTAACCCGTTCTCACCTCCCAACCCCCCCTCCCCCCCTCTTATCCCCACCTCAGCTGCTGTCAGTGGCAGGGGCGCCATACGATACGTGGAGGAGGCGATTGGGCTCCGAGGCACAACCCCCACCTCTATGTCTCTCCCTCTAACCCGTTCTCACCTCCCAACCCCCCCTCCCCCCCTCTTATCCCCACCTCAGCTGCTGTCAGTGGCAGGGGCGCCATACGATACGTGGAGGAGGCGATTGGGCTCCGAGGCACAACCCCTACCTCTATGTCTCTCCCTCTAACCCGTTCTCACCTCCCAACCCCCCCTCCCCCCCTCTTATCCCCACCTCAGCTGCTGTCAGTGGCAGGGGCGCCATACGATACGTGGAGGAGGCGATTGGGCTCCGAGGCACAACCCCCACCTCTATGTCTCTCCCTCTAACCCGTTCTCACCTCCCAACCCCCCCTCCCCCCCTCTTATCCCCACCTCAGCTGCTGTCAGTGGCAGGGGCGCCATACGATACGTGGAGGAGGCGATTGGGCTCCGAGGCACAACCCCCACCTCTATGTCTCTCCCTCTAACCCGTTCTCACCTCCCAACCCCCCCTCCCCCCCTCTTATCCCCACCTCAGCTGCTGTCAGTGGCAGGGGCGCCATACGATACGTGGAGGAGGCGATTGGGCTCCGAGGCACAACCCCCACCTCTATGTCTCTCCCTCTAACCCGTTCTCACCTCCCAACCCCCCCTCCCCCCCTCTTATCCCCACCTCAGCTGCTGTCAGTGGCAGGGGCGCCATACGATACGTGGAGGAGGCGATTGGGCTCCGAGGCACAACCCCCACCTCTATGTCTCTCCCTCTAACCCGTTCTCACCTCCCAACCCCCCTTCCCCCCCTCTTATCCCCACCTCAGCTGCTGTCAGTGGCAGGGGCGCCATACGATACGTGGAGGAGGCGATTGGGCTCCGAGGCACAACCCCCACCTCTATGTCTCTCCCTCTAACCCGTTCTCACCTCCCAACCCCCCCTCCCCCCCTCTTATCCCCACCTCAGCTGCTGTCAATGGCAGGGGCGCCATACGATACGTGGAGGAGGCGATTGGGCTCCGAGGCACAACCCCCACCTCTATGTCTCTCCCTCTAACCCGTTCTCACCTCCCAACCCCCCCTCCCCCCCTCTTATCCCCACCTCAGCTGCTGTCAGTGGCAGGGGCGCCATACGATACGTGGAGGAGGCGATTGGGCTCCGAGGCACAACCCCCACCTCTATGTCTCTCCCTCTAACCCGTTCTCACCTCCCAACCCCCCCTCCCCCCCTCTTATCCCCACCTCAGCTGCTGTCAGTGGCAGGGGCGCCATACGATACGTGGAGGAGGCGATTGGGCTCAGAGGCACACTCCCACTCCCTCATTCTGTTTTCTCCTCAACCTTCCCCCAACCTCCACCAACCCCCCCACCTCCTCGCAGCTGCTGTCAGTGGCAGGGGCACCGTACGACACGATGGAGGAGGTGATTGGGCTCAGAGGCACGCCAGGGCACGGGTCGTTGAGAGAGTTTGGGGTGTCATACCGGCAGATAGAGGTGCGGTTTGCTGGACAGATACACACTCACGCGCACATGCATGTGCACGTGCACGTGCACGCACATACTTTCACTATGCATAGGGCAGGGGTCGTTGAGGGCGTTTGGGGTGTCATACCGGCAGATAGAGGTGCGGTTTGCTGGACAGACACAGTAGGGCATGCATGGGAAGTCACATGAGTGTTCTTTTTTGGAGCAACAGGGAGTAGCACACACACACACAGAGAGACTCAGAGACACACTGGGGCATGGCTCTTCAAAGGTTTTTTTTTGGGTCTCCTTTCAGCACATAGAAGAGCCAGAGTTGAGCCAGCCGCAGACGAATCCTACATGGGGCTCTATTGGATTTTTTTTGGGTCTCGTTTCAGCACATACAAGAGCCAGTTGCGGGACAGAAGAGGTGATGCATGCATGCATGCAAATCATGTACCTCCTAAAAATGTATCTGTTTGATTCCTGGTTTATTCCCCCGTCAGCCCGTCAATTTCTCCCCGCCTTGTCTCCTCTCCCATGTAACCACAGTTGACGCCACAGGGAGGTATGGACTGGGATGCTCTCAGAGCGCCAGGGGTGGCTGCAGAGCACACACGCTGTGTGCTGGTCCAGCGCGTCTTTTGAGTCAACTCAAAAGTCAACTCGACTCAAAAGTCAACTCGACTCAAAAGTCAACTCGACTCAAAAGTCAACTCAGAGCGCCAGGGGTGGCTGCAGAGCACACACGCTGTGTGCTGGTCCAGTGCGTCTCCTTCCCCCCACCTTGTCTCCTTCCCTTCACCTTGTCTCCATGTATCCACAGTTGACCCCAGAGGGCGGGCTCGACTGGGATGCTCTCAGCATGCCAGGTGCGGTGGAGCAGCGGACGCGCTGTGTGTTGGTGCAGCGCTCGTGTGGGTACTCGCTAAGAGAAACACTTACTGTGGAGCAGATCGGTCGCATTGTGGAAATAGTGAAGGTGAGTTGCCAACTGGGAATGTGCGCATTGAGTTTTCTAGAGAAACTCTGAATAGAAGGAAATTTAAAAAACAAACAAACAAGCAAATTTCACCTTGCTAAAAGAGACGCTTACAGTGGAGCAAACTGGGCGCATTGGGGATTTAGTGAAGGTGGGATTCTTGGGGCTGAAGGGTTGAAGGTTGGGATTTGAAGGGTGGAAGGTTGGGGCTTTGAGGCCTTCACACTCCTTGTCATTTCAACTCGTTCCCTTGTATGCAAGGTGGCATGGTGGCATGATTGCATGCATGATGGCATGATGACCCATGGCACATGGCGTGGCATCTGGTTACTATGCAGGCTCAGAACCCGTCATGCGTTGTGGTGGTGGATAACTGCTATGGGGAGTTCGTGGAAGAGAGAGAGCCGACCCACGTGGTGAGAGGATGGAGGGGTAATGTATGGTAGCACGGCAATTGGTGCATGGCACATGGCACACAAGACACATGGCACATGACATGCATATGGCACTCAGAAGAGCCCATCATGCGTTGTGGTGGTGGACAACTGCTATGGGGAGTTCGTGGAAGAGAGAGAGCCGACCCACGTGGTGAGTGAGAGGATGGAGGGGCAATGCAGTGTATCACCGCATTGGCCACAAGGCATGGGCAGAGGGCACTCAGAACCCGTCATGCATTGTGGTGGTGGACAACTGCTATGGGGAGTTCGTGGAAGAGAGAGAGCCGACCCACGTGGTGAGTGAGAGGATGGAGGGCAATGCAGTGTATCACCGCACTGGCCACAAGGCATGGGCAGAGGGCACTCAGAACCCGTCATGCATTGTGGTGGTGGACAACTGCTATGGGGAGTTCGTGGAAGAGAGAGAGCCGACCCACGTGGTGAGTGAGAGGATGGAGGGGCAATGCAGTGTATCACCGCACTGGCCACAAGGCATGGGCAGAGGGCACTCAGAACCCGTCATGCATTGTGGTGGTGGACAACTGCTATGGGGAGTTCGTGGAAGAGAGAGAGCCGACCCACGTGGTGAGTGAGAGGATGGAGGGGCAATGCAGTGTATCACCGCACTGGCCACAAGGCATGGGCAGAGGGCACTCAGAACCCGTCATGCATTGTGGTGGTGGACAACTGCTACGGGGAGTTCGTGGAAGAGAGAGAGCCGACCCACGTGGTGAGTGAGAGGATGGAGGGGCAATGCAGTGTATCACCGCACTGGCCACAAGGCATGGGCAGAGGGCACTCAGAACCCGTCATGCATTGTGGTGGTGGACAACTGCTATGGGGAGTTTGTTGAAGAGAGAGAGCCGACCCACGTGGTGAGCAGATGGAGCGGGATAGAGGGGATAGAAGGGACGGAAGAGATAGAGGGGCATTGCAAAAGTGACCATCTCCATAGGCAGGGTTTAGCTCCGCTTCTCATCCTCAATTTCCCACTCTCCCCTCCCTCACATCCTCATTCCCCTCGCTCCCCTTCCTTGCATCATCACATCCCTGCACTCTCCTCCCACTCCTCCCACTCTCCCCGCCCTCGCATCCTCAACGAATCCCACTCCCTTATCCCTTCCTTATTGTCCTTTTCCTCTCCTCCAAATGCCAGGGTGCAGACCTTATAGCGGGGAGTCTTATCAAGAACCCTGGAGGAACGATTGCCCCCAGTGGGGGGTACGTGGCAGGGAGGGCGGACCTGGTGGAGGCTGCAGCTGCTAGGCTGGCTGCTCCTGGCATCAGTATGTATACATTTATACATTACATATATATACATAAATATATACATGCACATGCATGCAAGGTTTTATTTGTTTTTGTTTAAATATATGCATATGTACACGCATGCGTGATAGCTTTAATGTGAATATGCATGTGGTTTTTTGAGTGAATACTAATTGCCACCTGCATGTTGTTTCGTCCCTCCCCGTTGTTCACCCCCATGCATAGGCTCGGGCGACTTTTGAGTTGACTCTTGAGTGACTTTTGAGTCGACTCTTGAGTGACTTTTGAGTCGACTCAAAAGTCACCATGTTGTTTCGTCCCTCCTCGTTGTTCACCCCCATGCATAGGCTCGGGCGCCGGAGCAACAAGTGGTGAGGTGATGCGGCTGATGTTCCAAGGGCTGTTCCTGGGGCCGCAGATGACAGGCGAGGCCATCAAGGTGAGGGGAGGAGGACAGGGGGGAAAAGGGGGGGGGGGGGGGGTTGGGGTCGGGAGGGGAGGGTGCTTGAAGACAAGTGGGGAGGTGATGCGGTTGATGCTTCAAGGGCTGTTCTAGGGGCTGCTCCCACAGATGACAGGCGAGGCTATCAAGGTGAGGGGAGTGAGGCAAGAGTGTGGGTGCATGATGGTATGAAGGGATGAAGGGAAAGGAGGAGAGGGGGTGACTGAAGAGAAGTGGTGAGGTGATGCGGCTTATGTTCCAAGGGCTGTTCCTGATGCCACAGATGACAGGCGAGGCGATCAAAGCGAGGGGAATGGGGCAAGTGGGTGGGTGGGTGGGTGCCTAAACGTATGGAGACAAGGGGGATGGGGCGATGGTCTGAGAGTGAAGGAAGGTGGTTGATGTTCTAAGGGCTGCTCCAAGCAGTTTGAAGACACTTCAAAGTGGTTCATGCTTCAAGGGCTGCAGCAACAGGGTGACTTTTGAGTCGACTCAAAAGACGTCTCATAGTGGTGTATGTTTCAAGGGTTACACCAACGGCTGCACCAACAGCAAGCCAAGTCTTTTCTCCTCTCTCTCCCTTTCCTCTCGCCCCTCCACAGGGCAGTCTACTCGTAGCAGAGGTGATGGCGAATGAAGGGTTTGCCGTTCACCCCCAGCCCCGAGCACGGCGGAAAGACATCATCCAGGTGTGGTGTAGTGTGGTATGAGGAGAAACAGTGGGTTTTGAGCCACCTCGAAAGTCACCCTCGGCCCTGAGCATGGCGGAAAGACATCACCAGGTACGGTGAGGGGAGGGGCGGACACACAGGCAGCTACTGTTTTTGTTTTTTTGCTAAACGATGACACAAAAGAGAAACCCGCGTACACACACACATCCCCTCTTTTTCCTGCCACCCAATTCCTAATTCTTACTGCCGACTCTGCTCTTTCCGCAACACTTTTTCTTCCTCTGAATCCTCAAATTGTTATGCCTCTCGAGGCCCCCTCCCTCTCTCTTTCCTCCAGCCCGTCATTCTCTCCTCGCCCGCGCGCCTCCTCACTTTCTGCCTGGCCTTGCAGGGTGTGCGAAAATTGAGGCGTTTTTTTAGGCGCCTCAAAATACACCTTTCTGCCAGGCCTTGCAGGGTGTGCGAAAGCACGATGTATGAATGCAAAACGTGTGGAAGCAAATGTGTTTTCTCTGAATTTTTTCTTCCAGGCTGTCATCCTCTCCTCGCCAGCTCGCCTCCTTGCCTTGTGCCAAGCCGTGCAGCGTGTGTGATTGCATATGTACGAAATCAACTGTCTTTCCCTCTTCCGTCTCCTCCCCACTATTCTCCTCCAGGCTGTCATCCTCTCCTCGCCAGCTTGCCTCCTCGCTTTCTGCCAAGCTGTGCAGCGGCGGTGCCCTGTTGGGGCTTACATCAAGCCAACAGCCGGGGTGACAGCAGGGTATGAGTCGGAGGTGAGTGCACAACGTTCGTGTACCGAACGTTTGAGTTGCATAGCATTTATGTGCACTAAGTGCTTGCTTGCATTGCATCCCCCGTTGGGGCCTTCATGAAGTCCACAGCCGGGGTGACAGCAGGGTATGAGTCGGAGGTGAGTGCACAACGTTCGTGTACCGAACGTTTGAGTTGCATAGCATTTATGTGCACTAAGTGCTTGCTTGCATTGCATCCCCCGTTGGGGCCTTCATGAAGTCCACAGCCGGGGTGACAGCAGGGTATGAGTCGGAGGTGAGTGCACAACGTTCGTGTACCGAACGTTTGAGTTGCATAGCATTTATGTGCACTAAGTGCTTGCTTGCATTGCATCCCCCGTTGGGGCCTTCATGAAGTCCACAGCCGGGGTGACAGCAGGGTGTGAGTCGGAGGTGAGTGCACAACGTTCGTGTACCGAACGTTTGAGTTGCATAGCATTTATGTGCACTAAGTGCTTGCTTGCATTGCATCCCGCGTTGGGGCCTTCATGAAGTCCACAGCCGGGGTGACTGCAGGGTATGAGTTGGAGGTGAGTGCAACGAATGCTGCCATGCTCTTTGTTGCACTTCACACCAAGTCATGCTAAGATGGTGCCTTGTTGGGGCTTATATTAAGCCCACAGCCGGGGTGACAGCAGGGTATGAGTCGGAGGTAAGTGCTTCAGTTCGTTTACAGCACAAATAGTTAACAGTACATGTGTGTGCACTAAGTGCATTCAGCGGCGGTGGGCCGTTGCGGCCTAAAACAAGCTAACAGCACAGGTCACAGCAGGGTACGAGTCTGATGTGAGTACACTTCGATCCTGTACAGAAGATGTGTGTAACTTATATGCTTGCCTACACTTCATTTATGTGCATTTTTTCTTACGTGCTCCGAAATTCTGTACACACTCCTCCTCACCTCTTCCACGCCCCTCATCGTCCCTCCCACACCACTCAACACCCCTCTGAACCGCTCGCCAGGTGGTGTTTGCCGATGGAACCTTTATCGATGGCAGCACCATTGAGCTCTGCTGTGGCGGCCCCCTCCGCCCGCCCTTGTACACACCCCTCATCACCCCTCACACCCCCCATCACCCCTCCCAAACCTCTCATCACCCTTCCCACACCCCCCCACACCACTCATCACCCCTCTGAGCCGCTCATCAGGTGGTCTTTGCAGACGGCACCTTCATTGACGGCAGCACAATCGAGCTCTCCTGTGATGGCCCCCTCCGCCAGCCCTTCGCAGTGTTCTGCCAGGTACGTGACTTTTGAGACGTCTCAACAATCAGCCTTCTGCCAGGTCCATGAGTCGAGATGTGCCTTGCCTTGCTTTTCAGGTGCTGTCAACATCGAGCGTTCTTTAGCATGCCGTTTTTTAGATGTCTGGGCCTTTTTAGCTTACTTTACTACCGACAGCAATCAGCTATCTTTGTGTCAATTCCTGCGTGACTTCAGAGCCCCGCATTTGTTATCTCTATGTTTGGTACCAGCACTTGCTTTAACACTCCCATGTCTTGTTACTGTACCCTCACATCCTCTCCATCTCCCCTCCCCCCCCCTCTCTCTACTCGTTGGTACAAAACCATTGTCATCAACTACCCTCTTCAATTTTCCATTCTCCTGACCTTCCCCCCCTCCCAAATATTGACCATGTCCGTACGTTCTCTCTTTTCTTTTAGGGTGGAGCTCATTGGGTGCACTGGGCAATTGCCCTAGACGAGGTTTTGGTTGCTTTGGATGCGTTGTAGTTCTATTGTTGTGGAAGCTTAAAAACTACTGCAAATTTTACTGATTGCAAGAAAATTCAACGAAGGCAACCAAGATAGACATTCTCATGGAGGGTTGCTGTTTATTAAGCAAAGAAAGTTAAGGTACGTGACACATTCCGATTAACCTTCTTCATATACAGACATTCTTGGATGTGGGAACTGTGTACTTCTAGATAAACTCGCAACGAGCCCAAATCGGGTCCACATCCAGTCGAATTCCTGGCATAGCGGCCCTCTGTGGGTGTGTGTGCCTTCGTCCCCAAAGCTCGCTAAACCATTCTTTCATGTTCGCATCGCATGCTCTCCGAGTCAGCTAGCCGACACAGCAATTCGACGCGTCGGCCAGCTCTCGTCACTATCGTGTTGAAAAACATTAGATAAGTCAACTCATGTCCCAGCGCCTGATCTTTCCTCATTGAATACATGTACCAGCCAACTGCCCGGCTTTCGAATTTTCTCCGTCGAAGACACTAAGATAAGAGCCAACAGTTCAGCGTTCAGCAGTCATCATGACAAAGGCGTCAGAGGTGAAACCGCCGTGTGCGACGGTAGCGGCTACAGCCGGCGTCAGCGGGAGCATCGTGAGTTGTCTTCACTTGATATGCTGTTCCGCTAGAGCGTTTTTGTTGCTATCGATGGTACTACTCAGTTTCGAGGAGTAGCGGAAGCATCGCGCGTTGTATGACTTGAATCTTTATTCCCCAGCATCGTTAGAAACACACGCAACCGTCGCGAATGCAGAACCTAACGCGAACCCAAGCAATTTCGCGAATAAGGTTGAATTTACTGGGTGCACTTGCGAGTTCCCCTCACCCAACCGCCACACTCTGACGTGATAAAAGTTGAGACGTCTCAAAGCTCAACTTTAATCACGTGCATATTCCCCATGGCTCTTCCACCTTCACATCAGCACTGGCTCTTCTCCCTTCGCCTACGATCCCTTCGTTTGCTCTCATTCTTACGCTAAATCTGTTTGTTGGGAATTCTCAGTAAACATATTCCTTCGTTTGCTCTCATTCTTACGCTGAATCTGTTTTTTGGGAACTCATTACATATTCCTTCGTTTGCTCTCATTCTTTCGCCTCTTTCTGTCAGTTCGGTTCTTGAGCTGACCCAAATTCTCCTCCGCCTTTCCGTCTTTACACATTCGCTTCGTTCACTCCCACCCTAACGCCTCTGTCTTTCAGTTCGGAGTTATGTGGGGTTTCTACAGTGGTGTCACTGATCCCAGAGGTAAGCTCGCAAATGATATCTCAACGAATTTCATGGCGCTGATTCTTTTGTTGTTTGGCCTGATTTGTCCTTTGATTCCATCCAAGAAAGAATGTAACTACAGTGTGATGATTTCCTCTTGAAGTCCCCTTCCCCCTCCCCAACCCCCACCCGTGTCTTTTTTTGCTTCGTCAACTTGACCTTTCTTCACCGAACTATCCTCTTTTACGCATTCCCCACCTCACTCCACTTTACTAACCCCTCCCCTTCCCTCCACACCCTTCCACATTCCCCTCTCAGAATTCTCTCCTCTCTTCCGCGTCGCTCATGTGGTATGTGCTCCTGTCCTCCGTATCCACTCTTTTTACTCGCCGTTTTTGCCACACCTTGGCCCCAGTGTTCCTCACGCTCGTCATGCATGTTCCGTTTCACCACCATACAACACACATCATCACTCGCTTGAAAATGAATCATAACAATAAATGCCCACGCTCATCGTTTACACCGTCACCCTCTTATCTATCCCCCTCTCCATCATCTCGCTGAAGTACCTTGCGTATCCATGCATGCAACGAATCTGATAGTTCCTTCATTCCCTTCTTCCTGATTTCTTCATCTTCCTCACGTGTCGCGGCTCAACCAATCCCCATTGTCAAATCGCATCTCCATTTCGAAATCTACGGCTACCACCACCACCACCACCATTCCGTACTGTGCTTCTCCACTGTTGCTGGCGAAACACACCATTCCTTGACCCATTCCGTGCTTGTGTCCACCCCAGACTGGCTCGGCACTCGGGGATGGTGTGAAATTCGGTGCGCTGGCTGCTCTCTTCTCGGGAACCAGATGTGCCTCTCAGCGCGTGAGGGGTCAACATGACTGGGTGAGTGGTGGTGAAAATGAGGTGATTGGGTGAGTGGTGTTGGATTCAATGTGGTTGGAGCCGGTATAGATAGGATCCAGTAATTGAGATGCTGCACAAGGTGCCTCTTTGCACATGAGGGGTCAAGATGACTCTGTGAGTGGCAGTGGGGTTGAGGTGATTGGAGTTGGGATTGGAGAGGGTTGGGTGAATGGTGTGGCACAAAAGGCACGCAACACGCCGGCTGCTCTCTTCTCAGGAACCAGATGTGCCTCTCAGCGCGTGAGGGGACAAGACGACTGGGTGAGTGGGGTTGATGGGTTCAAGGTGGTTGGAACTTGAATAGAGAGGATTGGTTGATTGCCGTGGGTCATATGCCGCCAACGCTGCTCTTTTCTCGGGAGCCAGTACCAGATGTGCCTCGCAGCGCGTGAGGTTGATGATGACTGGGTGAGTGTTGCTGTAACTGAGATGAGTGGGTGAGTGGTGACAGGGTAGAGGAGATTGGAGCTGGGGTAGGGAAGCAGGGGTGAATGGCATGGCACGCAAGGTTCGTTGGCTGCTTTCTTTTCAGGAATTAGATGTGCCTCTCAGTGATTGGGGGGTTAAGATGACTGGGTGAGTAGCGTTGGGTTCGAGATGACTAGATGAGTGGCGTTGGGCCTAAGGTGTGACTGGGAGTTCGGATAGAGACGATTGAGTGAATGGAGCAGTTGTCAAGATGACTGGGCTGCGCGATGATTGGTCGATTCTATTATCGGAGTAATGCGGGCATTGGTTGGTCACCTGGTTCTGATGATTCTAGCCTTTATCCCCCTGCAGGTTAATTCCAGTGTAGCTGGTGCAATCTCAGGTACTGTAGTGGCCGCTACAGTGGGCCAACGAGGATGGACTCTCTTACAAGCGGCTGCACTTGCAGCTATAGTAGCAGGAGCAGCAGACCGGTACATCATAGGCCCAGTGGGGAATCCAGAGGTGGTGGCAGTGCCCCAACTACAGGGGCATGGGAGAGAGAAAAATGAGGCTGTCAGTATATTGAGCTCATCCAGAAAATACGAATTTGATGCCTTTCTGGGAATTCCTGCACGTATTGTCAATTATTTTGAGAATCGTTAATGGTAGTTGTTCGGGGAGCATTGCTCCGTCCAATGTGGCTGAGGAGTATCATAATTGCGCATAGATTTCTATCGTTTTCACCTCTATTGAACGCTGTTGTCACCATTCTCTTTTGGTAATGTTGCGTGTAACGAGTCTCTCCGTTTCTAGAATCAGCAGATTCGAAGCGCGTGTGCCAAATCTGACGCAACATCTCTTTCCCAATTGCTTGGCGGCTTTCTGACCTGGCGCCAGCAGCAGTTTTTGGATGAGGAGAACAACTCACCCAGACCGGATAATTTTTCCACAGGGCATTGTGGCGCCACGTGGACCACCCTACAACCCTTGAAGGACGATCGTCAATGAGAACTGCCACGTCCGATGTCAGAATGACCGCTTTTGAATGGGCTTTCGCAGATCCTGTGGCTCACAGACTTCGTGACAAGCTTTGATCCCTCCACAGTGCTCGATGATGACTTTCAACCGTTGATGTTATGTCCACTATCAATCATCGCGAGCCACAAGCGTCGCCAGGGTGTCGTCCAACATCTTGCTTCCGTCCAGTTACCCAGCCAGGCTCCACTACATCGTTCAGAAGCCGTTGCTGCCTTGCGAAGTTCGCAGAGGCTAAGCCCTCTCAGGATGTAACCACCACAACCAGTCGTCTGCTTCGCATCCGTCGTTCGCTTCACCACCACCACCCATCCTTTCCTGTAACCTCCAATCACGTCGGGCCATTCTCCCACGAAACGAAGCCTCCATCCACCTCATCTCCACAACACCTCATCCCCCATCACCCCACACACCACCCTCATCCACCTCATCCACCCACCTGCATTTATAATCCCAAGACTCCATTTTCACATTCAACCACGCGTTTTCTTTGCCTGCTAGAAACTTCAACTACAGCCTATCTCTCCTTGAACTTATTCCTAAGTTCAGAAAAGATGGCTCTCTCCCTCAAGCAGGCTCTGACCGTCAGCAGCTCCGAGTTCTGCGGCAAGGCTATCCGCCAGGCCGCTGCTCCCCAGGCTGCCAAGAATGTCTCCTTCACCGTCCGCGCCGGCGGATACGAGGAGGAGCTCGTGAAGACAGCTGTAAGTTGATTACTCGTTTTATTCTTGATTATTTCTTCACCTTCACTCAATCATTTGCTCTTCTTTTGTTAACGTTCTTAGTCTGCATTCAAATTCTTTTATCTGATAATTCAACTTTCCTGACATCTTACGATCTTTTCGAATGTTTTACTTGCTTGTCTCTACAGAAACACATTGCCTCCCCCGGCAAGGGTATCCTCGCCATGGACGAGTCCAATGCCA